TTGATATATACTGTGCATACGCACTAAAATGCTTTTCCTTGCCTGACCATATATTAATTGTTTTGTCTTATAAACTCCCCTTGTATAAACAGTTTTGTACACTTCTTACCACTTTTACCACACCAACCCTTCGCCCAATTTTGCTCAACTCTCTGCTTAACATATTCGTCAAAAGGGTTGCAAGCCGCGCATTTGTGTTTTGGGCCAGTAGGTCTTGGGCATGCATCCTGTCTCAAATATTATTACTTCTTACTACTATTACGAGACGAATAAACATGCGTACATATATACATACATACATACACACACACACACACACTAACACATGCATATTTTTACATAAAATACCAATTTCTATTTGACTAAAACAATAGCATAGACTTCGTAGAGCATGTTTACGAAGTTCATAAGTTTTTTTTTCTGTTTCAGCACTTGTAATGGTGGAGTATTTGACTGTCAGGAGACAACGTGTGATGGTAAGGTTCAAAAGTTATAACTTTCAATAAATAAATTGTCTTCATCTTCAGGTTAGAGGCATAATGTGATCAAATATCAGTTGTCAGTCTGTGTCCTGGGCTTTCCAACGATGTTGTGCGTCAACGTGGAAGGCTATTTTAATCCTTGTTATGATTTAATACAAAAAATTCCGACGGCAGATGTCCGATCGCAAAAAATCTATCTGTAAACTCAATTCATGTAGCGATAGGAACACCGCATTTTTATCCAAGTGCATCTCTGTTGCTATATTGTGTTATTTTTCATTGTAAACTATAGGTTACGGAATGGTATTTGGGAATCCATATTATTACACGTTTGATGGTGTGATTTACCCATACGATGGCGTATGTGAATACGTGGTTGTTCAACTACCTGATTCTCTAGAAGAAGTTGGTGATGATTCTCTAGAAGTTGTACTCGACGTCGTTAAATGTGGAATGGAATCAGATTTCACATGTATTGAGTAAGTTTGATTTTGATACAAATAAAGTTGCAAAATTTATTTTTTACAGCTTGCCATTTAGTAACCCAATACAATATTTCTGTGATAAAATTCAATAGTTCATTTTTTGTTACGATATGCTTGCTCATTTGACCGAACAAGTCTCGATAATTCCATCTGCTATCATATATAATCAACTAATTCTCTATAAAATATTGTTTTCCAGTCATGCGACAATCATTTCCACCTCATTTCCGAGAGTAAAATTGCTTAAAGATGGCTCTGTTGAGATAGAAGGCAGACGGATGGAGCTACCATATCACAAATGTGGGTATTCTTCACCAGTTACTTATCATTAAGAAGAATTTCCATTTTAATTACTGTATATTCCCGCATATAAGGCTATTCAAGTCTCGAAAAAAAGATTTACAAACTTAGGCTTATACGCGCTTTACTCTGATCGCACTCAAACGAAATGACATTTTATGAATGAATACTCAAAACCGCAAACTTAACTGAATAATATTATAAACATTAACGGCGCCAGGCTAGCAATAAATTTCATGATAAATTCTACATTCTACATTAATTAAGAGCTATTTCATAGGCTGTAAACCGCAAGAAATGCTAAAAATTTCCTGTTATGCTTGGTCATTATCGGAGAATGAAAACAATTAATCCCGACACAATTTGGGTTTAGATTTTTTTCTTGTGGTCACCCAGGATATCTCGACAATGTTAAAATATACACAAAAATTGTAAAATATTTTCAATCAAAAATATCCCTGACCTGTTATAAGTACTTCAAATCGGCATGATACAAATTCTTTCATGTTGGCCGCAGTTGACTGTTTTCAGTTACGCTGAAAAATAAAATATGATAATTGTAAAAGTGGAGACAGGCTAGAATGTTAGCGAGATTTTCGATTTCCTTATAAAAACTAAAACGATATTCAAATCAATATTTGAATATCAAATTCAAATTGAACAATTCTGGCTGTGATAGGTGCGTACGACGTGTTATAATTTTTAGAGTCAGCACAGATGCGAATTTTTATAAATTCACCGTTATAAGACCATTTTAGAGGTCGGCTTTTATGCGATGATATACAGTACCTTTGTTAATAACTACTCTTGTAATTATTAATTTTATTCTTGAGTTTCAAACTTAGGATATCAATGTTAAGTATCTGAAGCTTCGAACCTGAATGAATAAACACTAAAATTGTCTGTATCAGTAGTCGACAAACGTTATGTTCTGCTGGGCCAAATTTACATTTTTCCAGTAGCGTGTGGGTCCACTTCAATTTCCGCATTTAAACAACCGATATTGAACTTTATCCGCAACTCCAATTCCTGCGTTGAGTACAACTAAAAAAAAAACGTGTCCGGTCCGCGGAGTGCAGTTTGCCGACCAATATTCTATTATAGAATTTGTATAATATTTGGATACAAGCCATGCAAATGGGGTTCACTTATATTCCGTTGAAAACCACCAGGGTGTCCGCATCAAATTGTTGTTTCACATTTTATTGATTGACATATTTTACAATAGCGATGGGTAGAATGTTTTATTGGGGCACTAAGAAGATTGAAAACCACTGGTCTTAGCTTTTAAAAGATAATCTTTATTCGATTAACAGCAATTCACTCACTATAAAGGCTGTATTACTATTTATCAGCGTAAAAATATGAATTGAAACTGGAACCCTAACTGTCAGCAACCGAAAAAGTCCTTCTTATTTTCATTAAAGGGGCCTACTTGTATTGAAAATGGAAAATGAGCTTACCTCTATTGGTTTCGAAAAATTAAATAATATACCGAAAAAATCATTCGCATTATATACATTAGATATTTTTGTTATTAATTCATAACGTCACCTGTATCTGCAGACGGCCTACTAGAAATTCAACAGCTAACTTCGACAACAGTAGCTGTAAAAGTTGTGAAGTCGAAGATTGAAATCCGATGGAGCATCGGCCCCATTCTTCTGATCGATTTGGATAATTCTTTACAGTGTGAGTACATTGCAGTACAACTACTAGCTTGCTATAGTTAATGTTAAAAAATGTATCTCATTTTACAACAGAAATTGTAAGGAAGGTCAATGCAAGCACAATTTTAAACGGTGATTTTTAAGTTTACACTAACGCTTCAATATTGAATTTCAGCTAAACCTCGTGGCCTGTTGGGAAATTACAATTCTAAAACAAATGACGATTTCACAAGCGAAAATAATATGGTTGAAACACTCAAAAATTTTGCGGAGTCGTGGAGAACTGACCAGATGTGCATCGAAGAACCTCCTTCTGGAAATGAAGATTGTATTCCACTAAATGAAGACAGTAAGCAAAAATACTAGAAATAATATTCCCATAACAAATAAATATTAAACTAATTTTTGTATGTGATGTGATAAAACCTAATTTTTCCATGGTATTAGATATTTCACCCGTTGCTGTTTTATTTTAACTCACGAAAACATTATTTTTTTTTATAAAACATGGTGACACTTTCATGTTTATATATTTAATTATTGCTTTCTTGCAATTTCAAGCATCTGTTTTTTGATATTTCAGTCGGATATTAAAAAACAGTTTTACTAGTTTTTTTCTTAATATTTATTTCATCAATTTGTGACCTAATTTTGTATTTATTTATAGAGACAAGATGTCACAATGCAATACATAAAACAGATGCATTTGAACGCTGTTTGTCCACCAACTCATTCGCAGATGAAATCTTTAAGCTCTGTCGCTCATCTTTATGCTCAACCACATCTGAGAAGCAAAAAGAAGAAATGGTCTGTTCATCACTAGCTGTCCTTGCAACAATGTGTGCAAAGCAAAGATTCATTGTAAATTGGAGGAGTGAAATTCTTTGCCGTAAGACTTTAATGTGTTTCTTTATTGGTTACTAAGTGAACCTGAAAATAGAGAGAGCAGTTCCCTTTACATGGAACGTTTTATGCAAACGTCCGAAGCATCGTGTTTGCAAGCAAATAGGATATTGCAATATGCTCTTGGTTAGAGTATGTAATAAACTATACAATAATTCCAAAATCTATCGATCATGAAGAGAACAACAAAAAAAAATACCAAGTACAGATGTGAGCATAATATTACTCTTGCGTAAGTGTATATGAGGAAAATTCAATATTCTGCATTTCATCTTTTGTTTACCAGCACTTTCCTCATTCTCTATTTTGGGTTTGTTTCATATTATGTCCCTCTTTTTTGTCAGCCATGTCATGCCCAGAAGGTAAAATATATGAGCCGTGGACAACATCATGTGGACGAACATGTATAGGACTCAGTGATACTGAAACCTGCACCACTACCCTTAAAGCGGAAGGATGTGTCTGCCCTGAAGGTATAGATAAAAATTGTCAGAGATAAAGTGTCACATATAAGTCATGAGAGTTAATGAAGTGTTTTTCTTATCAATTTTTCGACGACTAAACATGTGACAGACTTTCCCTACCATGTGCTATATAAAACTACAAAGTGTAAATAATTATCGCACTCTTCTACGTATTTTAATAGTATTCTTCCTATATCTATAAGGCGCCTACTAAAGATGGAAGATTTTGACTTTTGCAATAAAACCACAACGATATAATTTCCACATTATCACATAGTTGGTCAGTTTGGAAATAGTAACATCTGAAAAGCATGTGTTTGATATTTACATCTCTTATCAATAATTGGCATTTTGCTTTGGTCCAAGTTTGATTATTGATTTGATGTGTGATTGATTGCTGTTGTAATGCTTCAAATTCTACCCTGTTAAGAATTTATAGATAAAATTACAAATTACGGCTGGTGATTTTATTCAGCCTGTTTAGTAAATGATTCTCCAATATAGGGACACGAAGGTAGCGCATCGATAGATAAGGCTTAGCCTCAGAATATCAGTTTTTCTGAAAAGATAGGATCCAACTGTGAATACCCGTGCTATACAGTAATACTACATGCTATACAGTAAAAAATAAAACTGCGCGCGCACACGAGCAGAAGTGTAAAAGGCTGTTTATTATATTGAACTGCAGGAAAATTTGAAGACACACATGGAAATTGCGTAGAAATAAGTAAATGTGGATGCTATTTCCAGGAGGCATGGCGTCAACCCAATGATTACTTTGATTCTGGCAAAGACTCGTGGTATGTGCAATAAAATAATTTATCGATCGCATCGGGCTTAGCGCCAGAAATACACTTGATACCTCTGATTGCCCTGCGTTCAAATCATGCAGGAATTAGTTATTTGTGAAGGGATTTCTTTACTCCTAACCGCCGTAGTGAGTTCACGTAGTCGCTGGTCGTTTACGGCTTTCTCTATCACAGCGTCTCCCAACCTTTTTTGGTCGCGGACTATTTTCTCGTCGACGAAAATCTTTGCGGACTCTTATTGCAATCGTACTCAAAATTCGTTGCAATTAGGCGTTTGTTAAAAGAACCGACTTTTTTTAGAATATAATGGCATTTCTGTCGCACAATATGCAATCCATGACAACAACCAGAATTTGAAATGTCTTTATATATTAATTTAATTGTGTTCGTGGTAAGTCGCGTTTGCTTCGACTTACGTCAAGATGAAAGCATTATTTCTTCAAAATGCCACGGCAATCTGCGAACATAATAATGTGAGAATATATTGCTCGATTAAATTAAGTTTTGATACATATTTTTAGCGTTCTTGCGAATTTGTTATCACCGTTAGAAAAATCCTACTATCTGCTATAAATTTCCAGAAAGTACAACTTGATTTAGTACTTATTAAAAATATATTTGAAATATATTAGTAAATCCAAAATACATCTTCATCGCCTTGCTTTATTATTATTAATTTAATTGTGATCATTGTAATCTGCGGTTGTGTTGGCGAAATAAAAGCAATACTACTCAGAAAATACCATGACAATCCGTGCGTGGTAGATCCCCGATTATATTTTGTTTTTATTCGTATTTTTGAGAATTCGACAAATCTGAGCTGTTCGTACAACACTTACTGGGCTCCAGTACTGTACGTACCAATGTCTGAATATGGAGGCAGTGAAGCAAAGTGACCTTTCGCGTCGTCTGTTAGCAAATTTTCGAATAGTAAATTGCTATTCTAATAGTTGAATATTCGAATATATGCCCAGTCCTACTCAGTAACCAGTAATTATTGACTCGATTAATGTTATGTGAATAAACTTGCTTTTTATGTTTTATGTAAATTCTAACATAAATTGTAACTTGGCTGATAGTTAAATTTCGCAAAAACGTTTGCGGTCCGCAGTGAATTTCTGGCTCGTTGCGGACTCATTCAAACGCTCCGCGGACTCATTTGAGACCGCGGACTCGGGTTGGGAAACACTGCTCTATCATCAAGTCCATACATCTGGAACAAATATTTGGTGAACAAATCCCATACCCCTCATAGGTTTGTAATCGGGCAAGACGTGGTACACCGCGTGATTAAATCGTCTTAACTCGTCTTAATATAAAAGTCTCATATGAGCTACCTGAGCAATAAAAATAGGTTCTAGAGCGAATTGAACGAACAAAATCTATAGAGTATATAACATAACAATTTCGTCAAAGCATTCTAACATATTTTCATATCCAAAAAACAACAATATTTTAATGTAATATTAGAGAAAAAGACGAATAGAAGCATAGCAGTGTAGTGATTAGATATGGGTAGACAGTAAATGTTGATTGCTTCGTTTGATTTTTTGGAGTCTGACCTGAGTTTTGACCGATAAGAGTTTGTCCCAAGTTCGTGAACTGACTTGTACCAACAAACACAGTTAGAACGATATGGGGATTAGATAGCATATTCCAAGATTGACCAGAATTTGATAAACTTCGTTGACCGACTCTGACTCGGTAGCCGCCTCCTTCCCTCTCAGCGCCAACGCCTGCTTGAATGAAGAGACGTTGAAAAATCTCTATTTTATTTTATTTGTAGTTTTCCACGATACACAGAATACGAACCTATACCTCATATCCAGACGAGAATAACATTGAAAAAATATTGAATGGTATATAATATATACACGTTGATCAAACAACGAATCAATATTGAGAGTGTAATCTCGTGATTTACGAATCCGTTCCGATCCTCAACATCCTCCAGAACTATCAGCTTTCACGCCTTAGTGTCTCCTTGTCTATATTTATACTTGGAATGTGAGAGTGAAAACATCGCGTAAAAATTGAAACACACGTGTTCACTCGAAAAGAGAACGCGGTACTTTGTTCAATAAATCTTTGAAGTTGCCACAGAATGCCAGTATGGTGCTCAAAATTTCGTGTACACGTTTTGGTGAGTTTACTCAATGAGAAATTGATATTTTACAGCCAATGTAAAGATGGCAAAGTTACCTGCACTGGACCATGTAAGTGTTTGTTACTTAATATAATTACTGGCCCTTGGTGATAATATGCAATTGTAGTAACATGTATATTAGCTACTTTTATTGTTTTGATATGGTTCTTGTTGTAACTCCCGCATTATATCAATTTTACCTGATTAGTTGAAATATAAAAAGAGACAATGCTTAAATTTATGGACATATACGAAGGTCAAATGACGGACCGCGGTAGATCAGGGGACTAAACGATCTACGCGTAGACTTGTTAGGTGTCATTTTACCCGGGTTTGTCGGAAAAATGATAGTGCAACATGACGAATACCAAGATCACATGTATGAAGTGTTTCAATGAACTACAACAAAACAGTAAGATTGGGATGATATCATATCATATATAAAATGAAATAAAGTAAAAAAGTAATAGCTTTTTGGCAATTTTTCCAATCTTCAAATGTTGAACATTTGAAACCGATTTGTGTTGGTATTCAGGGCCACAACATCTACAAGAACAGCAATTTATCATTCTGATCCATGTGTACAATGGTGTTCAATAATACCAAGTTTTATTTTCCAGCTATGAACTGTACAGGAGACATGGTATATTCACGTTGTAAGGGTGGGAGGTGCCAACGAACATGTTCAAAAAATCACCAAATTGTAAAGAATGTGTACAAGGTGTTTGTTGAAATCTTTTGAAAAAATATTTATAATTTTGAAATGTCAATATTTCAGGCATCAAAACGACTCCAATGAAAAGCGTAACAAAGTTAATGTTCGAGTCAAAGTGCGACATGCAAAAAATAATTATTATATCACAATGAAAAATTGAAATATGCTAAAGAAGTCTGACCTTATGAAGCGTTAATAAGGAAATATTTTTGTATTTGTGTACAGCAAGAGTAAGACCCTCTATTTTCGTGGATTATCGATTTGAATGACTTTAATTTTAGGTTGTGTGTGCCCGAACGGAACACTGTATGATCAAGGAAAATGTATAAATGAAGAAGACTGTCCCTGCCATTTTAAAGGTGGGACATATCAGGATGGGGAAGATGCAATAGATGATTGTGATCATTGGTAAGCAGCTGCAGAAAATCTTATTTAATATTATTGAACTACATATGTCCATGCATAATTCTGTAAAAAATTGGCTTTGATATATAAATTTATTGTACCAATGGTAAATTTTCCTAATTACTGTTAAATCAAAATGACAATTATAGCTATGGCTATTATTGTCATTGGTATTACTATAGTACATACCACACAGTTATACCTCAATGAAAAAGTGGTTACCTCGATATCTTTATACTTTATGAAATGAATAGAAAGCTATTTTATTCAATATTTTATCAATAAGACTGTAACATACATATTTTATATTTGAGCCTGATTAAAAAATAATATATTCTCCCTTCCAGTATTTGTAAGAAAGGTGATTGGGTTTGCAAAAGAACTACAATGTGTTCAAGAACTTGTAGTGTAACCAGCGGAGCCTATTATAAAACATTCGATGAGAAGCGATTCCATTCAAAGGGAGCATGTACTTATCAACTCATGTCGGATGATTGTGGGAATGCAACAGCATCAAAGAACTTACATTTCTTTGATATCAGGATAAAAAGTTATCTGTGTGAAGATAGTGAACATACAATGTGTAACATATCATTGCATGCTAGAGTTGGGGTGAGCCATTTTTAAATCTTTTCAATATTAACAACGAAAACTTTGATGTCTGAATTTATATGATTGCATTTAATTATCATTACAAAATTATATGTGGCTCTATCGCTTGTTATTACCGCAAGGTTATTCATACAATATCTTGGGGTTTACCTTTGGAAACAACCGACTACATTTCAACTCATACATTTTACAACATATCTCATAAAAATAAAAAAATGAAATAAAAACCTAAAGAGAGAATTAATTAAGCGATGTCTGATCTGGAGAAACTACTATGCTACTTGGCAATGTCTCCTCAATGTAGTTAACACTATACCAGTGTTTTTATTTAATATTACCGGTCGTCAAAAGTCACATCGCCGAAAGTTTATTTCCATTTTGTTTAATTCTGAAATTGCCCCTATTCCTTCATCTGTATTCAAATACCGATATAAATATTTATTTCAGAATCAAATGTTCATTTTGTCAAGAGATCAGCCAATGCAACATCTAGGTGCTCCAAAAATTTCATCTGCGCATGAGCCAAAACTAAAAAAATTGCATATTGGATTTTACCAAGTTTTAGAATTTGATTTCCCGGAGTACTATGTTCAAATCAGTTATGACGGTAAAACATCTGTTAATATCGAAGTATCCAGAAACATAACAGTAAGTGCACAAAATTTAAAAAAAAAATTTGAAGCATTCTTTTATTCTAAATTTTTTGAAATTACACACTATTTTGTTGAAAGTCGAGTGTGAGAAAATTTTATTGCTCCGTTCATTCGTTTATTTTTGTAATGATATTTTGAGTATAGCCTCTTCCAAATCACGATATTTGATAGTTTTATGTTAATAAATAGGTTGCAAAAATGCAGTGTAGAACTTTTAACAGCATATAGAATAATTATTTTCAGGATCAACGACCCCTGTGTGGTCTTTGTGGTAATCTCGACGATTCAGCCTCTAATGATTTTGGTTTGACGGATTCTGCCGGTTTCGTGAATTCGCACAAAATTGACCAATCTTGCGCCGACATTATGCCGTCACAAAAGACAGCTTGTGAGGACAATGAACATGCTGAAAAGAAGGCAAAACAACAATGCAACATTATGAAAAGTTCTCTCTTCAGCAAATGCCACTCAATTGTATGTCACACATTAGTTTTGCAAACTAACTATAGATTTAATTGTACTTGAAACTTTTTATCGGAACAACCTTAAAAACATTTTCACTAAAATGAAACTCGTTGTTTTAATATACATAATTCTCTTCATTTCTCTATCAACTTCAAAATTCTATTAATATAATGAATTATTGCAATGTTTTAGTGACACCAATTTTAATCTATACGAAAATCCATATGTATACTTTTTAAATATTCGACCTTCGACTGAACTTCAGGGCAAAAATTTTTAAATAGACTTGGCAGATGTTATTTATATGACGAAAAAAATAATTTCAAATGTTTTTTAAATTTGGCATTTATTAAAGTAAAAAATACGATGATATTACAATAATAACTGAAAATAGGTTGAATTAAAGTAGGAGCAGTTACTTATCGATTTTATTCGTTAAGTATGTTGGTAGGTATTTGTTTGTCTGTCTGTATGTCTGACTGCCTGTGTGTTAGATGCACGCGATAAATCTGCTCCAGATTTTGCATGTGCATTCATCTTATCTCGGACCAGAAGCCTATTGATTTTGGGCAAATCATGTCGTATAATTAGCGAGTTATTAATTTATTAGTGATGAAACACAAGGTGTCACTATGGAGCGCTGTTTTGGGGGAAACCTCTAACTTTCGATCAATAAGTCTTCGGTCTCTGACCGATATTCTCGTTTTTTTAATTACTGAGTATAGGCATCGTCGGAATATACCAGGGCAATCTTCTAAAGAGGATATTCGCCTATTGTTGATATAATATGATTTGGACTCAGAATTGTCTCAACTTGACCAATTCAGACATATATTTACTTGGACTCAAATTCAACAGAAAATTCAGAAATACGTAACTCGATTTGACTTGCAACCCGGGATTCGGGAAATTAAACCGAATATCAGTTTTAATCACCTAAAGCTAAATTAATTGATAGGTGACTCACGTCCACTATAAATTCCAACAAACAAATCTGTAATATTTTTTCAATTTTGTTATTTCATTCCTGTTTGTTTTTCATACGTTAGATTGAAGTTCGAGAATTCTACGAGACTTGTGTTGAGCAAACCTGTTCATGCACAGCTGACACAGATTGCGACTGTTTTTGTAGTTCTGTGGCTGCCTACGCTAACGCTTGTGGACGTAAAGGAGCCAAGGTTAATTGGAGACCTTTAACAAGTTGCCGTATGTTCATTAATATTTTTTTTAAATTAGTTTCTAGAATTAAAATATTGAGATTGAAATTAAGACGAGTAATATTGTGAACGACGTTCTTGCTTGAATTGTTGCTGGCAAACAAATATACATTAAACGATTAGGCCAAGTCATCAATTGTAAAAACGATGCGATTATCGAAGATAAATAATGATTTTTTATTCTATTCGATTTTCAGCCAAGTTGATTATGTATCAGTTTCTACTAAGAAAAATGGTTACGGTTACGAACGGGCCCGAGTTAAGTACGTCAGTCGGGTTTTCGAACTTTCACGTTAAAGTGAAAAGCAGTCATTCAGTCACATTGCTAAATTTTTATTGTTACGTTATAGGTAACTTGTTGCAGCTCATCTATTGTATATAATGTTTTCTTGTAATATTCTATTTTCCCGGGAACCTAAAAGAAAAGAGTTGAAATCTTTAGAAGAGGTCTTTGTTTAAGCCTTTTGCATAATCGCACTTTATGTTTTTGTAGCTGTTGAGTGCGAGGAATTTACTGATCCAGACGGCGATCTGTGCGATATAAAGTACGATGTGTGTCAAGATTGCGTCAAAACATGCTGCGTCAGTTGTACCAGAGGTTGTTTCGAAGGATGCTTTCCCAAGTAAGATTCAAAACACGGGTTTTTCAACTTGTGATCTGCATTTCATATCAATTTTGAGACTTCATCTAGTGATTACAACATAGTAATTAGCACGTCCTAAATTTAGCCTAAGTAATGATGATGAGTTCCTCGACAGCATTTCAAACGTTGACGAGATAACTCACCATCCTAATACATATTTGAATAAAACTTGTTGATATTTTCATAGATGTGATGAAGGCTTGGTATTTGATCCTGATGCCCAAACTTGTGTTTCTGAGGACAAGTGCACCCCATGCCGCTTCGGACCAACAGTAATAGGTAAATACTTCGGATTTTCAATTTTACCTCTTTGATGTAAATAGGGATTTTTCAGATCCATGTTGACATTGGCACAAATAAAACACACACTGCAACAATCGAACGTTATCAATGAAGTTCAAAATTAAATTTTAAAATACTCTTATTTGTCTTCCATGATAGAACTACACTCATGTGGTAAAATATTGAACTCAAATGCAAAAAGACAAGAAAGCAGTCAATATATATGTTAGGACCATGGTTCCTAACCCGTAATTAAATTAAAATTAAAAAACAATCATTTTGAATAACTTTTATTTCCACAGAACTTTCTAAAACGCATTAGTGAGATGGTATGCCATCAGCGAGGTCCTGAAATCATTGTGTCGCTTTAAGAAAAATTGTGCTGTGATACTTCCCATGTATACAATTACTATTGAGCAACACTTCAATACCAAATATGACATTATCAATAAAATTTACTACAAAATAAAATCGGTAACTTTCAGATTTTTCTTATAAATGTCACGACCAATAGGTTGAAAAACACTGGGTTAAAATACTGTTTGAAAAAAAAACATTTTATTTTTTTTTTAGTTTCGACGACAGGCGTTTCAAACACTACCAGTTTCACCACGACATATTCTACAGGTAATTTATATATTTTATACAATGTTTTTTTTATGTATTCGCACTATGCATGTTGATCACATCAACTTTCGTGGATTCGGCTGAGGCTGGTCATTTTAGTGTAATCCTTGGTAATTTTATTCGTCTAACTTAATTGTAGGAATTTTCCCTGTGACAAAATTTTAATACATTCGTTTCGCGGAAGTGTTTCCTGTTTTCAATTCAACTTAAATCTGATGCTGACTCGACAAGAATTTTCTAAATAAACTACAGCATTTGTAAATGTTAAATATCTAAAGTGAAAAAGCATGGTTCATCTAATAAAAGGCAGAATTTAGTAAAGTAACAACATATCAGTGCACTTATTGTTGTAAGATTTTTCAAGTACGTTAGCACTATCAATCATCTGTCAGATAATACATGGGCAAAATACGGTCCGCGGGTCAAATGCGGCCCGTTAGGTAATTCAATCTGGCTCCCCGAAGCTGTGCCACAATCAAGCTAAAACCAAGTTTTGATGTTTTAGCTAAAAAATAGCTCAACGAATTTGTTGAGATTGCGATTATTTTTAGTTTTTGGCACGTGGCTCATTGTTTTCCACTTTTGCTTTTGTAACACTGTAAATATTGTTCATAAAATGTAACCTTCTACATCACACTTACATGACCCGTCAGTCTAAGTGAGCGAAAATTTCGGCCTTTGGTCTGAAAACCTTGCTCACCCATGCGTTAAATGCAGCTGGTCTGTAAACAGATACCGATATTGATTTGCAAATTATGTCGCACGTAAATACCAGTAAATTACAGTATTTACAACATAACTCAAGTTCATTTTCTATTTCATACAGTTACAACTCCAATGATATCGACGCCTGGCTTTACTTCAGGTTAGTACTGTTTAGGTTTCTTTTAGTAAAAAAAGATTTGTTCATGTATGATAAAATTTTTGTGGTGATTTTTCTTTTTTCGTGAGCAAACTTTTCAATAAAATATAATAGTTGTAACACTTCTTTGATTTGTTGATTTCAGCCACTACGCCGATAGCGACAACAACTTCCCCAATTTCTGAAGGTAAAAAAAATTATTACATACCTAAATTGTTATTCAAGGTATTTAAAAATTTAATCAGGTCAGTACAACAAGATAATTCCAAAATAAGTTTCCATATAATATGTGAACAAGAAAAAATGGTTATCAATAATAATCGAGAAAATGTTCATTGTTTACACTCTTACAGTAACGACGGCAGAAACGACAACCTCAACATGCGAGACAGTTTGCACAATTAAGTTTGATGATATAGCATATGTGTTGGTAAGTTGGCAACTTATGAAACACAAATTTGATCTACAAATAGTTTTGTTAAATTGCCATTTTACATCTTTCTTGTGTTGTTGTTAAATAGAATCTGATTTCAATCAAAATTTTTTTTCAATTTTGTGTACCTCAAACTGAAAAAACTCCACAGACCCTGTTATTTTTATATCAAATTTTCTTCCGGTGCTCGTAGGAACCGATATTTCACCCGAAATTGTGTCATTTTATTGAGTAAAAGACTAAAACTTTTTATTACGCCTGTCCACCTATCTTTTAAGGCAACTCCAAGCCTATGGCGAACCGGTACCAATGGCCGATCTTTCTTTTCATATATTCAAGCATTGCTCTAACTTAAACCCTCCTTTTTGAAAACGAACATTGGATTCAATATTATTATCGGATATTATTGACGTTTTGTCTTTAATTATTTATGAGTTCAGTAACCGTGATTTTTTTTTTAATTTTCTAAGAATGCCAATGAATCGAGGGATTTCGGCTGTTTGAACTACAAATGCAAGTTAAACGAAGGGAATTGTGCATTCGTGACTAGTGTTTCACGAACATGTCCAGATGTAACTTGCACGGAACAGGAAGATGAGGTTCAATATGCTTCCCTACAATTTTTTTTGCCGAATTTCGGTTATTGCATTTGAAATAGATTCCAAATTTTTGAAAAGTTTTTTTCAAGTTTAGATATCAGCCTCACAAATCAACGACTTATAATTAGAGTTATTCAATTAAAAGTATATTGCAATTAATGTCTGAAGAATAATTCAATATTCAGTAATATGTATCTTTGACAGAGTTCTTTTGGTTGCTGTCACTTTGTTCTATCGAGTGGATTTTGTTTAGAGCTGTTTACTTTGTATCTTGCATTGAAAATTGATAATGATTCGTTTTTGCTTAGGTTTTATAAGTTTAGAATCATATTAAGGTTATTTTAAATAACATAGGTTCCTAGAGATTGCTGTACAGAATGCCAGTGTGCAAGGTGCATTGTTGGAGACGAGTCGTACAATGCGGGGTCATCTTGGACTGAAGATAATGGGTGTATTGAAATGGTATGTTTTAATTGATTGTAATACGAACTAATGAAAAATTCACTCATGTGAGAAGCTTTTTTTTGCATCTTCAAATATGTTTATATACATTGAAGAATTATCAACTAATGAATGAATTTGAAAATATCTTATAGATACACAAATTACATTGCCTTTTGATATCATGCCATCTAATAATAATGTCGCCCAATGTTTGATTGATGTTTGATATCATAAGTGTATATTTTCTTTACACAGTTTTTGACAAATTGTTTTAAAAATTTAATACATTTAAGACAATGTGAGACCCTAAAATCAAAATATGTAAAAACATGATTCAAATGTATTGACTTATTAAACTATTTATTTTATCAAGTATTGTAATTCAACTACCTGCGAAGCTGAGAAAACACATGACAAAAGAGAGTATTGCAGTGGACCACCATCTTGTAGACGTTACGAAAGTTTAAAAACAACGGAAACTGGAGAGTGCTGTTCTGAATACAAGTGAGACTTCAATTGTTTCAATTTTATAACTGACACTGAGACACTGAGCTTCACATGAATCAAAACTCAATTTCTATATGCTAGATTTTTATTCAATGTGTAAATGGTATTTCTACAGAATTGGAAAATTACCTAGCTACATATAGAAGTAGAAAACCGTTTTCAATGCAATAACATTATTTATTATTTCTTGTGCTGAAATTCAAAGTTTACAATAAATAAAAATAAAAATCAGAGATGAAAAGGAAAAAAAACTGAAAACAGCGGAATTCGATGCATTTAAAATAATTTCAAAAACTTTGAACACAAACATAAATTTGAACTCAGTTTACTCATATCTGGAGGAACATAATTTAATAGTCAAATTGTTTTTCTCTCCACAGAGAATAAAAGCAACTAAATAATCTTTAATAATTTAGTTGTGAATGCAACTCGATACTTTGCCCAGCAAATAAAACGTGTCTCGCGGGTACAAGAATCAACCAGGATTTGTCGGATGAGTGCTGTACAGTCGAAGAATGTCTGCCAACTTGTCGATACAATGGAGAGGAATATGTGGTAAATATTTAACACAAATAAAATTTTCCTTATTGGTGCGATGTCACCCACGGAATTGTTGTTGTTCATAACCTAATTAGATTTCCCCATCAACTACCGCGCCACTCAAATTCGAATAGCAATAATCTGAAGTGTCTCTATAGCAATACTTTTTTAGTGTCTGGCATTGATAGATTAATATAAAAGTTTTATCACTCGTAATTTTTGCACTATATTCCGACAATCTGGCACATTACCAACGGCATATATTGAAATTACTTATTTTGTTTTTCGTTTAATATATTTGAGCAATGATCTGGTGATACTTATGTAGTAATATTGAAATAAAACGTGTACAATTTCAACAGAATGGTGCATTGATAAATGGAGAAAATTGTTATGACGAGTACTGCGAATGTAGTGATGCTGCGTGCGAAATAGTGCGACGGGACGAAATTGAATGTCCCACAAGCGAACCATGTACGAACGATGAAGTTACTCATTACCCTTCATTTCTTGATGATTCCGGATGCTGTAAAACTCATCAATGCAAATGTAAAGATTTTTTTTTAAGTTATCGTTTATATTTTAAAGGAATAGTAATGTGATTAAACAAATGTTTTAAATAGTGTAGCAGATTTGCAGCACAGTTTATTAATGTAATGATTACGTTTCAGCTCAAGGGGTTCTTCATTATTCCATTATTTAAGCTTTTACAAATTTCAAAAGTAATTTTCTCTTCAAATATTTTACATTTTTTTCTACAAAAAATTTATAATAATCATGGGCAAAATTGGGTTTTAAAAAAATGAATCAATGGATGATTGTGAACGTGGATGCTTGAAACTGATTGCGTTGAATTCACATACATGCCATTTAAGCACTATCAATATTAATTTTTACACCCAACTCGAACTCACACCTGTTTGTAAACTCAAGTTTTGGTTGAGAACCTCTGTTTTGGAAGATAATAGTATTGTATTGATCATACAAAACGTCTTTACACTAATTTGTCTCAATGTTCAAACATCACTCCAATCTATTGTGGGTGCAAATTTTTCATTTTTTGTCAAAACGGAATTCATATTACCAATTCAACCTTTTATTGTTTTCAATTACATTGTTCAACTTGGCTGCATTCGATTTTCTCATGAGGAAGATTCTTTGCCTTTCAGTAAGCGATATAATCTCATTAAAATTTATTCACCGTCCCGTTTCTGAACTCTCATTTCAAAATAAGGATAAATGATTTCATTCTCAATTTTCCAGGCGAGTGTACGGTATATGGTGACCCTCACTATATTTCATTTGACGGAAAGAGGTATTCATTTCAAGGAATGTGTCATTATACTCTTGTGAAAAGTCGAGATACGGACGATTTAGAGATAATCTCGTAAGTACAAAAATAAACAACACAAAGTTGAGTTAATTCCTCGAGGGATAACCAGTTCGAACACTTCGAATGAATTTGGTATTGGTTTTATATTCATGTAGTGACATTCTATAAGCCTAGCCTAATGTATCCCTGGTAGCAACCGATAATCTCCCTTGATTTTACCTAATTTCAGAGGTATATCAATATTTCAGCGTGCAACAATGGTACAGTGATGTACATAATTTCCATATACAATCTTTCGGTGAACAGAAGGAAAAATGACTCACAACCTTTATAAAACATTTTGTATATTTTATGATAATACAGACTGCACCGATTTCACACTTTGCATTCTTTACTGTTAAATGTAGATGTTATTGATTAGTGACTTTCTGATAATGTGAAATTGTTTGATTTCCTCACAGCAGAAACCGGCAATAATTAATTATCTCCAATTTTCAAATTTTAATCTGCAATGTTTTTTTTATATCATAGTGTTGTCAATGCCATGATATTATGATATACTTTAATAGACCACGCATACAACCTACTTATAAAACATCTAAACATTCTGATTATGTTGATAAATTTAACGAATTTAACAGTAGGTGCATCTAAAACTGTATATAGCTTAAACCTGGTACTACAACGATTTGCATAAAATTATAAACGCAGATAAAACAAAACAAAAAGCGCATTGACCATTACAACACTGCTGCGTTTAGCAATTATCGTGCATTTGTTTGGACTATCAATCTTCAGAAATAGAATCAAGCTCCAATGTCTAAAATTGCTTCAAATCTCTTCGAGCAGTTTCAACTTTCAAACGCCATGATTATTTAAAATCTCGCGAGACTCCATCGGCGAGCGCGTCGATATATATTTCACTAAACATGAAAATTTTTGATTTCTCGTGAATGCCTGACTTGTAACCATGTTTTGTTTCTGTCTGGCACAGGGATAATCAAGATTGCGTTCCCACTATGCAAGACGTGAGTTGCGTGAAGTCAATCATAGTGATATGGAAAGGAACAAAGGTTGTACTTGCGGTTGGGAATATAGTAAGTGCTAAAAATTAAGATTATATAGTTGATTACATTAGCGTGTTCTACAGCCTCTTTCTTCATTTCTGTATGTTAGTGCATCTGTATACACTGACTGCAAAGGTATTGTAGTGAGAATCAAAGCAGCTTTATTGAATGGTTCTAATATCTTGTATCACAGAATAAAATTTGTGAAAGTGAGACATAAGATATTCGAACCACTAAGAATTGAGGGTTGTACAATTGTCCAAACATATATCAAGCAAAAATCACAAATAGCACATCTGAACAGCACATATCTTCTGGTTACTATCAGTTAGTTATTAGCAGGTCTTTATAATAAATATTTTGTACGATTTTCCTTATTGAAAATGAATTGGAATTTTTTACATTTCACATTACAGAAAAATATATTTATTGGTTTATGCCTTATGTTCAGAACTAGACAAAAGCCAATAAGTAATTTTTTCTGTAATGTTAATGTTTCAATTCATTGTCAATGTGAACAACTGTACAAATATTATATTAGAGAGAACTCCTAGTGCTAACAATTAATTGATATCAACTTATAAAAAGATATATTCTAAATAAATTCCGAATGTGTTATTTCTGATTGATATATTTTTGGATTTCCAGGTAGCTAATTAGTTTGTGACCGTTTTGAATAAATAGGACATGATGAAAATCGTTGTTTTTACGGAATAGAATTGTGACCACAGTCCAACACAGTAATCTTATTTAAAATACCAATATTTACAATTTTACTCATTCTTTCTTGTAAATATAGTAAACCAAATCATTACAAATAAATAAATAATCAAAGATTCTAAAGTAGTATTTGAAACAATGATCGTGCCCTATTCAAATATTTTCTTCATTTTTGAATCCACAACTGCATCAGAATTAAAAAAGAGACCGGTTTCACCCATGTTTTATTTCTTTAAAGAGCAATTACCATATTTTACGGACATAAACAGCACTTAATGGTCTTTTATACTCAAAAATCCATCGTGCTCCTTTTAGGTCGATGCACCTAATGTAGGGATCGGGTTTTATTGCGTACGATCAAAAGCAGTAAAGTACTCGTTGCGTTATATAGACAGATGCGCCTTATGTATGAATGAAAACCCGATCTAAGCAATTTATTGACAGTGCACGTTATAACACTTGGTTCGTTTAGTCGTATGATTCGTAAAACCTGATAATCTTAATGTATTCTGGCTTAGTGATATGAAACCTGCAGAAAATTGTGATTGTATATATTATTTTCAAGGTGTATCTCAATGATGAAGAAGTGACAGCTTTGCCGTTGGATTCTGGTGGAATTCGAGTCACAAAAATGCCAGATTTCTACCTTCGCCTGCAAATTGCTGAACTCAGTCTTGTCCTCGAGTTTAAGGGACATAAGGAACAAGGCTATACTTTCATCAAAATACCAATGAATTCAAAATGGTTTAATAAAACCGTTGGATTGTGTGGTATGTATGAAAAAATTACATAACAGATTCTGGTTCTCGTATTTCTAATTATGGTACAAAAATTATATTATGTATGTCAATATTCTTTGGTACTGTGGTAATTCATTGCTTATGGTCAAATCAACAGGCTAATTTGCAGCATTCTATATTTAAAATGTTGGACCCATGTGCCTTCAACAAAAATCATTGTTATCGTGTTAAACTTTGTTTTCTACTTTTTTATTTTTATTCAGTAAAAGTGTTAGGTCCTTAGAACATGCTATCATACAAAAATATATTTCAGCATTATAGACTATACACTATCAAACTATTCAATACTTATTACCATGGAATATAATAAATACAATTTTGTTATTTCTAGATCTATATTTATTAACAACGTAATATTTATTGTAGGTACGTGTTCTAATACCAGGGACGATGATTTTGAAACAAAAAATGGAACTAACACAACTGATCTTGAAGATTTCACTTCTAGTTGGCAATATAACGCAACAGACAAAGAGTGCTTGCCATGTAATCCTCCTGATCACAAAGAATGTTGGAATTGTACCGATCCAAGGTATAAATTAAGACTGACCTTATTATTTATATAAAGTAAAAACTCATAGAAATAGATTTTCCCTTATTCCACTTTTCCAATCTTTCTTACAACAAACTTTTCAAATATAATCCGAAAACGACTCTGAGCAGGCAGCCGATGCAACGTACAAAGCTGGTATTTTTGAAATAATCGGAATGTTCATAGATTAGCACTCCTCTTTGTGAATTGATTTGTATGAATTGGAACATGATATCTCACCTGTGATATGAACTTGATACGTCCAGTGCTCTGATCACTTTGTGTGGACCGTAGGGTTTTTAAAACAGTACCGATAACGATGACAGTAAGTTTTTCTTACTGTACTTACTTGTACCTGATACTAAAAATGAACACTGGCAGTCAGACTGTAATGCATAAGTTGATTTCATGACCACGCTGTAATTAATACACACAACCTTTATGATTATTTTTTCCGAAGTTGTATTATATAAATCTTGTTTTATTTTTAGACACGGAAATGACATACCTGATTACTGTAAAAAACCTTGTAACAAAAGTTCGTGTGAAATGTTAAAATCAAATATCTTCGCTAATTGCTCTATACCAGTCGACAATTACTATGAGTCTTGTATGAAAGATAATGAATTAACAAGAAAAGTAAGTTTATTTACAAAAAAATTAATAAATCAAATAATATTTTCTTTGAAAATGAAGTTCGAAATCAATATGTTATCAGGGTATTATTTTTTGATCCATTAGAACACTTTTGAAGCACTTTGACCTTCGTCTTCGTATATCTGAGCACTTTCCATTTGTTTATTTATAGTGTTCAGTTTGTGACTCGGATGCAATAGCAACATATGCAAAGAAATGTAACTGTGTAAAGTGGCGTAAAGACTTCAATTGCAGTAAGTAACAATACATGATTCAAAAATATTTCTAGAATTTTTTTTACAATTCCTACTTAGAATTTGTACAGAAATAATAATTGTTACATTAAAATTTGATTCCCGTGTTTTTCATCATAAAATCAGGCACAGAATGTCCAAATGGCCAAGAATTTGAAGAATGTGTGCCCGAATGCAAGCTCATGCGAACCTGCTCAAATAAAGATTTATCACTGTTACAAAGAGAATGCGACTCAACCTTAACTGCAAGTGGCTGTGCCTGTCCCGATGGCACTGTTCTACAGGATGAAAACAGCAATATATGTGTGGAAGAAAGATGTGTGTTTTTTGTTTATTTCCAGTTTTATTAATTGCCCATATGAGTTTTACGATTCAAAAATATTTTGTTGATTATTTACGATTTTAGTTACAATTTATAACAGCACGCCGAATACTCATTTGCAACATTCCACCAGGATTTTGCCCACCCCCAATCCATATGAAAATGTATGCAAAATCTATAACCTAATTGCTCCGAATAGTAGATAATGGAATACATCCTTAACGCAAGTTCATGCAAAGTACGAGTAACAAAAATATATCAAATCGTAGGTTTCATTCAAACGCACTATCAAGATAAAGTGATTAATTAACTATACAAAATTCACAGTAACCAATATGCATTCGTTATGAATTCTAGTAAATGTGTTGGAACGATCGGAAACTTCATGATTTGACATTACCCACCTAATTTGACATATTTAGAATAGGGTTGTGGGCGCTGTATTTAAGGTCACGATATTCGACCTGCAATGTCCAAATTGTGAGTCAAATGCTTTCAACCACCAGTGTACTGCAACCCCTTTATTTTTACCATTTATATCATAACAATTCGGGAAGTTATCAAAATTTCAAATCTGAAATAATTAATTAATGAGCTATTCAATGGGAAATTGTGATGAAAATAAAGACTTTTATTTTATACTTTACTGACATCATATAACTTAATTTTTGCCTCTAGGTTGTGATTGCCAAGATCCAGTATGCAACTCCTACGAAACACTTGTTTTAGAAAAGGGGGAGAATCCCGACGACTGTTGCGCAAAGAAAAAATGTGTGTGTACATCAGTGAACGACCCGCCTTGTGTTTTACCTAAAGTTTTAATACCGACTGATGGTGGAACACCTGGATGCTTTCGAAATGAGTGCAGATGCCCGGATGATCCTCAGTGTGATCAAGTAGAAAATTCTTGCGATCAAACTTTCGGTTGCACTGGAAAAAGTAAGTGTCGCTAAAAGTACAAGATTAGAGTGAATATACTGTAAAGCAAATACAGAATATCCGTAATTTGTTGATTTGCTCATTATTGATTTATTTGTTTGTAATTTATTGATTTGCGATCAACAACACTATAATAGGTTAATTAGTGATTAATGGAATTCAATAAAGAATGGCGGATTTATTTTTGAACCATTCAAATTAATGTTATATAAATCTTTCGCAGTGATATCTGGACTATGCGGATGTACTGAAAGATTCGATTGTGTGTGTGATGAAACAAAGTGTCCTCAAAACTTCGATCCTTGTCCGAAATGTTTTACTGAAACAATGCAAAAACCTGAAATCGATCCGGATCAATATTGCAATGGGTCTTGTTGCGATGAACAAATTTGTAGCAAGATTCAGTGTGATCCTATACAGAATACGATGCCCGATTATCCAACGGATTCTTGCCCTTTTATACAAGTGAGTTGTTGCATTGCTATTTGTAACTTGGGAAAAACAAATATTTTGACAAAATATAAATAAATGGCCATGAGCGTTTGATGCTATCGCTTCTTAATTATATATTCAAAATACAGTACAGTGGTTCTGGAACGGTTGGGTGCGCACCACAAGGTTGGCGTGAACAATTTTTAGAGGGGGCGCGAAGCAAATTATAAATTAAAATATTTGTTTGATTTGGTCTTGCCGCCTTATTTTCAGATATTTACGTTATATTCGCATATTTTCAACGTGTTTTTAAATAAAACATACTTTCGCCTCACTATCTGTTATTTGTAGATTTTTGTAAGCTAGTTATTATTAAGGTGGGGCTCGAGACTTGACAAATTCTTAAAAGGGGCGTGACTTAAAAAGTGTGGGACCCACTGAATTATAGAGGAGAATGAATTCGGAAAATTAGATTAATATATAAATGATGATAAAATAGTAATATTGAAGAACTGAATGAAAATATTTTGAATTAAACATGAACGGTACAACTTAATAAAATTGAATGAATTTTATTTTCAAAGCTATTATTTAAATTTATTTTTGCAATTTTCAGAGAATTACTACGGGATTTTCTGAGACAGATTTGGAAGAATGTTGTGGTACTGCATACGGTGTTGAGTGTTTATCAGATAAGTGCAGTGATGAATTTGCAGAAGAAAGTTGCCAAGCTGGATATAAATTAGTGACCCTTTCAGCGATTAATTCATCAATTTCGACCATTCGCGATTACGCCAACTGCCCTAAAGTTGACGAATGCTGTCCGCACAGAATTTGCGTTTGCGATTCATGCATGTTGTCCGATGGAAGCCGCTTGGCCATTGGAGATGAAAAATATTCGTTCGACGGGTAAATGCATTAGGTTTGCAATTTTACACCAATGTCTCGCATAAACAGTGTTACATTGCTAACAAAAATATATATTTTTTTCAGATGCGAATTATATACATGTACCAACACTAAGCTAGAAAATGGATGTTACAAGTATACTACACAGACACCGGATTCTCCATCATTTCCCAAATGCAAATGTTATCAAACTATGAGCACAATATCTCCACGTGAGGGACGACCAATAGATAAGAGTCAGTGGGGAGAATATTGCGTACCATCTTACACGTAGGTTCTATAATATTTTAATATTATAGGGAACCTTTCTTCTATTCGGTCAGGAAAAGTTTCAGCAAGTGGAAAATGGTACAGGCACAAAGAAATTATACTGGTGCAAATTTTGCGAATATATTATTCACAACAAATTTCAAAACGTTTTCTTTAACTACACCATAAACAGAATAAATTTTATGTGAGGGTAAATTTATGCAGTTCACATTGTTCAATTTAGAAACTTAGTTAATGAGAAGAGTTTCTATGACAACAGGGCTACATACGGTACTCCTACTTTTATATGAGGCAATTATTATATTGAAAATGAACAAATTGTATTTTAAATCAGATGTCAAAACAATTCCTGTAGCGATAACTACTCTCCTGGAAATGATGATTGCAGTTATCCTGCAGAAGTACAAACCACTTATGAGGTGGGTTTAAATCATAATCAATTCAAAATATCGATAAACAAATGTGTTTGTAAAAGTGTGTGGTTTCTTCAATTTTTTATTTAAAACAATTTTTTGCTTCAAATAGCTGCCAATATTTTCATGATACTTGTGACATATTAAATTGTTAATTGATGCTTTCATTAAAATCAAATAATTTATGTTGGTTATTCGGAGCGAATATTCTTGTGAATTATTGAATCAAACTATTTTGAATGCAATATTACTTTTACTAAATCTATGCACAAAATAGATAAAATATAAAATATTTGAGTGATGACGCCAAATATTGTTATTTCTAATACAGACAGATGATACGAATAATTGCGAGAACGAAGATTGTCCCGTATCAAAATGTGTTTGTTCAAAATGTTTTCATGAAGATCTTGGAGAATCTGACATTGGTATTACTGTTCAAGGCAATGATCATTGTGAAAACTACACCTGCGTTGCTGGTAAAATTTGAACATTTTTATAACAAATGTGTTTGCTGAACAAGGAATTGATAATTCGATATTTCTTCTTTACAGTTGATGGTGAACTTTGTCCAAAATATAAAGTTAATCGAGTTCCATGTCCTAAAAAAGATTGCAATGAGGAATTTGAGAATAAAACAACAACTCCAATTCCTGGGGAATGTTGTGACAAAGAAACCTGTCAGTGCAAGGTAACTGTGAAAAAGAAAGAATTAAAAAATTTTATGTAATAAAGACGTACAGCAACATTTCGATTTCATTAATAAATGTGAACGTTTGATAATAGTTGGGCATTATTTGTCAAATGGGATAGCGATAAATACTGAGCTATATTTAAATATTTCTCAGCCATATGAAAAGTTAGAAGACGTTTGTAGCAATTGGAAAATAAATACGAGTTCATGTCAAGATCCGGATTACATGGTATTAGAGGACGAACAGGACAAGTTTCAAACGCACCGATGCTGTCCTGAAAAGAAGTGTGTATGCAAAAGCGATGAGATGTTGAAAGACGAATGTCCAAAATGGTAAAAACTGGAATTATTCTTATTCTATGGTAGTGAAACTTACTTCAATATCACTCATCTATATTATTTATTTATTTGTAGGACTGATTATTCATGCGAATCTCCTTATCAGAAGAGAAGTCTCAAGACAGCCATCACAGAGTCAAATTGCTGCCCAGATTATGAATGTACATGCGACTGTTCAAATGTAACATGTAAATACGACAGCTGGGTAGCTGAGGCGTAAGTCAATCTGCTATTTGAAAATATAATAAAATGAAAATGCTACACCAAGGTAGTCCAAACCTAGGTCTGTGGGCCACATGTGGCCTGCTTTATCGTTGTCCGTTGCTCGCGTCACATTTGCTGATATAGGTAACAATTGGTGATAATCAAAAAATAGTATTTTGTATTGCTTTGTCAAGAATGTCACCGAAAAAATCTTCTCACATTATCACATCACCAACGTCCTTGATTTTACTTGTGACTGGTAAAGCTGAGATAGTCGGTGGACAGTTGATGTTCGAGAGCACTTCATTCATCAATGCATGTTCTCCGTTGTAAAGAGTTTGAAATCTAATAAAAGTAACAGATTGGGTGTTGAAATATAGGATGTCAGAGCTTTCAACAAGCAACACGATTGTTGATATAAAAATATTGATTCATGATTAATAATAATCAAATGTCTTGAGACTAATGCGGCCCGCGAACAACAAAAAATCAATATTGTGGCCCCCGACGCCTACAACCTTGGACCACCCTGTACTACACATTCAAGAAATATCGCGGTCTAACATTAAATAATTACCACATTAACGACATAGCGTGCACGAAACATTTTGAAATCTTCAGATTTGCAGAAATCATTTGTATTCAGTTGCATGTTTTGAAACTTAACAAATATTTTAGTTCAACTGATCAATGCGACTGCCAATGCAAATGTAAACCAGAAAAATGTACCGAAAATATTAAGAGTTGTGGAATTTATGAAAAACGTATTGAAAATGGAACGAAAGACGATGGTTGCTGTAAAGAGTATGAATGTGTTTGTGTCAAAGAAAGCTGCCCAGCTCTTCCATCGGCAGATTGTAATCAATATCAAATTGAGGTGAAATGAATGAATATATTCATATTTACTGTATAAGAGAAATAAATATTGATTATTGGTGATAGAACTAGTTTTCTATCAATAAGCTATGAATGTAATTTTATTTCCATTGGTAGTCAGTATTCATACCATATATAAATTGTGATGAATTTCACATGTTTCAGTCTTTATGCATTAAACACATAGGCCAATAATAGCAATACTACCTATACAAGTTTCATGATTTAGAAATTTTATACTGCACTATAATTCATTGCAAGATAGCAACTTTTCATTTCTAGATAAGTTGAAGTTAAAAATATTTCGGAACAATTTGTGTTTAGTATTGCTGGTTCATTTGGTTCATATTTACACAAAAGATGAAATTTGATTTGATGGAAAATAGATAATATATTTAAACATTGTTCAAAAAAAAAAAAATTACTCAATATTTCCTATACTTGTCTCCAAAGCCTTCATCGCTTTAACTTTTTCCCAATCTTCAGTATGATTGGTACGAGAATCTCGGAGTTGATTGTTGCGCAAAAGAAAAAAGATGCAGATGTAACTCTAACTCTACATTATTACATGAATTGTGCAATGCCACAAAGCCAGACAAATGCGAGGACGGTTACACACCATATGTGGAAAAAGTGATGACATCGCAAACACAAGGAATGTGTTGTGATATACAGTGCAAATGCTCCAGCTGCTTTACTGATAAAAACGAAACTAAGTTGGTATGTACTTATATTTTTACAAACATTCATCTTCTTTGTTTTGATCGGCTAATCGATGAAATGAACACTTGTAAATTTTAGGTTGGTTCTACATGGGAAACGAAGGAAAATTGCTTAGTGAAAAACCACAGATGTTCAGAAGTGTTGTTGACAAACGGTTGTCATAAAATAATAACAGATGTGAGAAATGTATCTTGTGATTTCACCTCCGCCAGTAGCTACGAAAATGAAAAGTGTAACGAAAGCTCTTATGCTGTTGAAACATTGCCCAGAGAAGGATGTTGTCCTGATTTCAGTTGCAGTAAGTATATCAAATATGTTGATGAATTTTTGAACTAAAAGTATGAGTGTCCTTTAATGGTCTTTTTTTTCATGAATAGAACCTTGCTCTTCGCAAAATTGGACTTGCCACTCTCCATTGGAATTTATGTCCAAAAACGATACAATAGAACGATGTCCCGGGGAATGTAGATGCTCGGATCCCTTGAGCGAAATTCAAAATCGGATTTGCCTATCAAGCGCTTCTTGTCCAAATTATTACACACCTGTTTTGCTTGATAAAGATCAAACAGGAGGAAAATCACATTCGGACAAGTGTTGTCCCGACTATAAATGCATATGCTCACCTTGTTCTGAGGATAACATCAATGAAAACGATATTACTTACAATACTACACTATGTGAAACTGTTGGAGTAAGGGAAAGTGACGTGGATAAACCTTGCTGTAAAAATTATGAAAAGCAATGCAACAATTCATGTAGTTGCCCAGCATCAGAGTCAAATTGTCAAACAACGCTAGGCTGCACTGACAAAGGTACGTTGTTTAGTTTCTTTTCAATCCCATTGATATCAAGGTAATACTGTATTTACAATACCTTCCAAAATTTAGAAATCTCCATATCATTTTGTGGGTGTGTTACTTCAACAACATGTGAATGTAAACCTGAACTATGTCCCATAAAATCTTGTGGACCATGTGAAAAATTGGTAAATGCATCTCGACCTATGGATGAAACAGCTGCCTGTAATGGAAATTGTTGTCCAATACAATCTTGTGTAAAAGTGGAGTGCCCTGAAGTACCTGAAATTGTGATACCGGACTATTGCACTTTCGCCTCAAAGATAAGTATTTTTATTTGTATTTAGATAGATTTTCTATCATCTTTTAGTAGTTTTTTTTCTTTTTTTTGTTCTCACTCAAATTATTTTTAGCTTTTCCTTTTACGACTTTTTTTAATCAAGTTTACTGAAGTATTTATTTTATTAATATTTGCATCTGTTTTATCATCATTTCTATTTTTAGCACGTATACACATATCCACAGAATGAGATTTGCTGTCATAATGGAGAAGAAGTGAAGTGCAATAACACTTTATGTCCTGACATTCTGAAAATCCCAGATAGTTGCCAAGATGGATACTCATTGGCTTCTCTTCCGGTTGCAAATTCAACTGACGCAAGGATCAATGCATTCAAAGATTGTCCCAACGTTGACCAGTGTTGCGAACACAAAGTATGTGAATGTACATCTTGTGCATATGGTGACAAGCTTCTCAATATAGGAGCACCAGGAGTATATTCAGAAGATGGGTGAGTAACATGGTTTACATCTAACACTAAGTTTTTCTTTTTTTCATTTTCATTTGTCACAACAAAGTGATGCGTTTATTGTTTTTTTTTGTTGTGATCAATCTCCTACAAGTGGAATGCAAATGATTTATTCTTTTGGAATATCACTATGCGCGAATGCCCCTAAAATTCATATTTAGTTCTAACTAAAAAATAGAATCCATATGTAAACTTATTCTTGTGTTAGAATTCGAAACATTTACATAATTTTTTCTATTGCAGTTGTACCTTTTATACTTGTACTGGAGATATCAAACTCACAGATGGTTGCTATCAAATATCTGAACAAAAGCCATCTTGCCCATCTAAACAACCCTGTGATTGTTATCAAACACTGGTAACAACCGATCCAGAAGGAGGAGCAATTGATAAAAGTCAGTGGATGGAATATTGTTGTCCAACTCATACGTAAGTCACACTATTGTATTAATTTTTAATATCCATGAGTTTAGCAATTATATATTTTGTATTTATCATTGTCAAATTTTTTTTCTTAATTTCGCATGATATATCCAACTACGTGAGGATTCTCATGTTTCAACAGACTATTTCAAATGCATAATAATTTTTGTTAGAGGTCAATGATATTTCGCTGCAATTTTACAGTTGTATGTATTTAAATGATGAAAATTATTCAAAGTAAGCCAAGTATTTATCACTGGTCAAACTATTGCTGGCTATTCTATTTTCAAGTAGATATATATATATTTTTTCTAATAAAAAACTTTTAATAATTCAGATGTCAAAACAATTCCTGTAGCGATGACTACTCTCCTGGAAATGATGATTGCAGTTATCCCGCAGAAGTACAAACCACTTATGAGGTTGGTTTAACTCATAATGCATCCGCTTAAATTAGAAGTAGAAATGGTTTGATTTTTTTATAAAAAATATTTTTGGTAATAGTTTTAAATCTTTTCATTTAATTTTTTTTCCCATTAGGCACTCAATATTTTCATGATCGTTGCTGGCCACAATATTCAGTTATTGGCACATTTAATTTTATTTCAGATAATTTTGAACTTTGTGCTGATAATTTATTGCAACGATGCTTGTGAATATTTTTATCCACCTTATTCTAATTATTTCTATTTTCGTTGAACGTGTGGAGATATACAAAAATTGTTTTCGAGTTGTAATACTTGTCTATTATACTTCTTAATACAGAGGAATGATACCAACAGTTGCGAGAACAAAGATTGTCCCATATCAAAATGTGTTTGTTCAAAATGTTTTGATGAAATCCTTGGAGAATCTGACATTGGTACTACTGTTCAAGGCAATGATCATTGTGAAAACTACACCTGCGTTGCTGGTAAGATTTAAAAAACTTATAACAACTTTCTTTATGAACAAGGATTTGATAATTTGATATATATTCTTTACAGTTGATGGTGAACTTTGTCCAAAATATAAAGTTAATCGAGTTCCATGTCCTAACAAAGATTGCAATGAGGAATTTGAGAATAAAACAACAACTCCAATTCCTGGGGAATGTTGTGACAAAGAAACCTGTCAGTGCAAGGTAACTGTGAAAAAGAAAGAATTAAAAAATTTTATGTAATAAAGACGTACAGCAACATTTCGATTTCATTAATAAATGTGAACGTTTGATAATAGTTGGGCATTATTTGTCAAATGGGATAGCGATAAATACTGAGCTATATTTAAATATTTCTCAGCCATATGAAAAGTTAGAAGACGTTTGTAGCAATTGGAAAATAAATACGAGTTCATGTCAAGATCCGGATTACATGGTATTAGAGGACGAACAGGACAAGTTTCAAACGCACCGATGCTGTCCTGAAAAGAAGTGTGTATGCAAAAGCGATGAGATGTTGAAAGACGAATGTCCAAAATGGTAAAAACTGGAATTATTTTTTATTCTATGGTAGTGAAACTTACTTCAATATCACTCATCTATATTATTTATTTATTTGTAGGACTGATTATTCATGCGAATCTCCTTATCAGAAGAGAAGTCTCAAGACAGCCATCACAGAGTCAAATTGCTGCCCAGATTATGAATGTACATGCGACTGTTCAAATGTAACATGTAAATACGACAGCTGGGTAGCTGAGGCGTAAGTCAAACTGCTATTTGAAAATATAATAAAATGAAAATGCTACACCAAGGTGGTCCAAACCTAGGTCTGTGGGCCACATGTGGCCTGCTTTATCGTTGTCCGTTGCTCGCGTCACATTTGCTAATATAGGTAACAATTGGTGATAATCAAAAAATAGTATTTTGTATTGCTTCGTCAGGAATGTCACCGAAAAAATCTTCTCACATTATCACATCTCTAACGTCGTTGATTTTACTTGTGACTGATAAAGCTGGGACAGTCGGTGGACAGTCGATGTTCGAGAGCACTTCATTTATGAATGCATGTTGTAAAGAGTCTTAAATCTAATAAAAGTAACAGATTGGGTGACGAAACTTAGGATGTCAGAGCTTTCATCAAGCAACATAATTGTTGATATAAAAATATTGATTCATGATAAATAATAATCAAATGTCTTGAGACTAATGTGGCCCGCGAACAACACAAAATTAATATTGTGGCCCCCGACGCCTACAACCTTGGAACACCTTGTACTACACATTCAAGAAATATCGCGTTCTGACATTGAATAATTACCACATTAACGACATAGCGTGCACGAAACATTCTGAAATCTTCGATTTGCAGAAATCATTTGTATTCAGTTGCATTTTTGAAATTCAACAAATATTTTAGTTCAACTGATCAATGCGACTGCCAATGCAAATGTAAACCAGAAAAATGTACCGAAAATATTAAGAGTTGTGGAATTTATGAAAAACGTATTGAAAATGGAACGAAAGACGATGGTTGCTGTAAAGAGTATAAATGTGTTTGTGACCAAGAAAGCTGCCCAGCTCTTCCATCGGCAGATTGTAATCAATATCAAGTTGAGGTGAAATGAATGAATATATTCATATTTACTGTATAAGAGAAATAAATATTGATTATTGGTGATGGGACTAGTTTTCTATCAATAAGTTATGAATGTAATTTTATTTCCATTGGTAGTCAGTATTCATACCTAATATATAAATTGTGATGAATTACACATGTTTCAGTCTTGATGCATTATATTCATAGGCCAATAATAGCAATAATATCTATACAAATTTCATGATTTAGAAATTTTATACTGCGCTATAATTCATAGCAAGATAGCAACTTTTGATTTCTAGATAAGTTGAAGTTAGAAATATTTCGGAACAAGTTATGTTTAGTATTGCTGGTTCATTTGGTTCATTTTTACACAAAACATGAAATTTGATTTGATGGAAAATGGATGATACATTTAAACATTGTTCAAAAAAAAAAAATTACTCATTATTTCCTATACCTGTCTCCAAAGCCTTCATCGCTTTAACTTTTGTTCAATCTTCAGTATGATTGGTACGAGAATCTCGGAGTTGATTGTTGCGCAAAAGAAAAAAGATGCAGATGTAACTCTAACTCTACATTATTACATGAATTGTGCAATGCCACAAAACCAGACAAATGCGAGGACGGTTACACACCATATGTGGAAAAAGTAATGACATCGCAAACACAAGGAATGTGCTGTGATATACAGTGCAAATGCTCCAGCTGCTTTACTGATAAAAATGAAACTAAGTTGGTATGTACTTATATTTTTACAAACATTCATCATTCTCTGTTTTGATCGGCTAATCGATAAAATGAACATTTGTAAATTTCAGGTTGGTTCTACATGGGAAACGAAGGAAAATTGCTTAGTGAAAAACCACAGATGTTCCGAAGTGTTGTTGACAAACGGTTGTCATAAAATAATAACAGATGTGAGAAATGTATCTTGTGATTTCACCTCCGCCAGTAGCTACGAAAATGAAAAGTGTAACGAAAGCTCTTATGCTGTTGAAACATTGCCCAGAGAAGGATGTTGTCCTGATTTCAGTTGCAGTAAGTATATCAAATATGTTGATGACTTTTTGAACTAAAAGTATGAGTGTCCTTTAATGGATTTTTTTTTTTCATGAATAGAACCTTGCTCTTCGCAAAATTGGACTTGCCACTCTCCATTGGAATTTCTGTCTAAAAACGATACAATAGAACGATGTCCCGGGGAATGTAGATGCTCGGATCCCTTGAGTGAAATTCAAAATCGGATTTGCCTATCAAGCGCTTCTTGCCCAAATTATTACACACCTGTTTTGCTTGATAAAGATCAAACAGGGGAAAAGTCACACTCGGACAAGTGTTGCCCAGACTATAAATGCATATGCTCACCTTGTTCTGAGGATAACATTAATGAAAGCGATATAACTTACAATACTACACTATGTGAAACTGTTGGAGTAAGGGAAAGTGACGTGGATAAACCTTGCTGTAAAAATTATGAAAAGAAATGCAACAATTCATGTAGTTGCCCAGCATCAGAGTCAAATTGTCAAACAACGCTAGGCTGCACTGACAAAGGTACGTTGTTTAGTTTCTTTTCAATCCCATTGATATCAATGTAATACTTTATTTACAATGCTTTCCAAAATTTAGAAATCTCCAAATCATTTTGTGGGTGTGTTACTTCAACAACATGTGAATGTAAACCTGAACTATGTCCCATAAAATCTTGTGGACCTTGTGAAAAATTGATAAATGCATCTCGACCTATGGATGAAACAGCTGCCTGTAATGGAAATTGTTGTCCAGTACAATCTTGTGAAAAAGTGGAGTGCCCTGAAGTACCTGAAGTTGTGATACCGGACTATTGCACTTTCGCCTCAAAGATAAGTATTTTTATTTGTATTTAGATGGATTTTCTGTCATCTTTCAGTAGTTTTCTTTCTTATTTTTTGTTCTCACTCAAATAATTTTTAGCTTTTTCTTTTACGACTTATTTTAATAAAGTTTACTGAAATATTTATTTTAATAATATTTGCATCTGTTTTATCATCATTTCTCTTTTTAGCACGTATACACATATCCACAGAATGAAATTTGCTGTCATAATGGAGAAGAAGTGAAGTGCAATAACACTTTATGTCCTGACATTCTGAAAATCCCAGATAGTTGCCAAGATGGATATTCATTGGCTTCACTTCCAGTTGCAAATTCAACTGACGCAAGGGTGAATGCATTCAAAGATTGTCCCAACGTTGACCAGTGTTGCGAACACAAAGTATGTGAATGTACATCTTGTGCATATGGTGACAAGATTCTCGATATAGGAGTACCGGGAGTCTACTCAGAAGATGGGTGAGTAACATGGTTTACATCTAACATTAGGTTTTTCTTTTTTTCATATTCATTTGTCACAACAAAGTGATGCGTTTATTTTTTATTTTTTGTGATCAATCTCCTACAAGTGGAATGCAAATGATTTATTCTTTTGGAATATCACTATGCGCGAATGCCCCTAAAATTCATATTTAGTTCTAACTAAAAAATAGAATCCATATGTAAACTTATTCTTGTGTTAGAATTCGAAATATTTACATAATTTTTTCTTTTGCAGTTGTACCTTTTATACTTGTACTGGAGATATCAAACTCACAGATGGTTGCTATGAAATATCTGAACAAAAGCCATCTTGCCCATCTATACAACCCTGTGATTGTTATCAAACACTGGTAACAACCGATCCAGAAGGAGGAGCAATTGATAAAAGTCAGTGGATGGATTATTGTTGTCCAACTCACACGTAAGTCTCAAAATGGAACCATAGGTTGTTTTAATTTTAATATTTCTGAGTTTAGACATTATTTGGTATTTATAATCGTTAAATTTATATGTTTGATTTTGCTGAATATATTCAACGTAGTAGGGATCACTAATTCTACCAACATGACCTAGCTGATGCATAGCAATGTGTGTTCTAATTCAAAAAAAATTTTGATGCGTTTTTAGAGTTGTCCTTGTTCTGAGTCAAAATATTTCTAGTCATTTCCATTTCAAGTTGCTACATATATTTTCTAAAAAAAAACTTTCAATTTAGATGTCAAAACAATTCCTGTAGCGATACCTACTCTCCTGGAAATGATGATTGCATTTATCCTGCAGAAGTACAAACCACTTATGAGGTGGGTTTAAATCATAATCAATCAGTTTAAATTAGAAGTAGAAATGGTTTGATTTGCTTCTAAAAATCTTTGTGCTATTCAATACTTTTAAATATTTGTATTTAGTTTTTGCCTCATTAAGTAGTCAAAATTTTCATGATCGTTGCAGGCCGCAATATTTGGTTATTGGTACATTAAATTTAATTCAGATAATTTTGTACTTTGTGCTGGTAATTTATTGCAACAATGCTTGTGAATATTTTTATCCACCTTATTCTAATTATTTCTATTTTCGTTCAACGTGTGAAGATATATATGAAAATTGTTTTCGAGTTGTAATACATTTCTATTTTACTTCTTATTACAGAGGAATGATACCAACAGTTGCGAGAACAAAAATTGTCCCATATCAAAATGTGTTTGTTCAAAATGTTTTGATGAAATCCTTGGAGAATCTGACATTGGTATTACTGTTCAAGGCAATGATCATTGTGAAAACTACACCTGCGTTGCTGGTAAGGTTTGAACATTTATATAACAATTAACAAATGTGTTTGCTGAACAAGGATTTGATATATGTATTCTTTACAGTTGATGGTGAACTTTGTCCAAAATATAAAGTTAATCGAGTTCCATGTCCTAAAAAAGATTGCAATCAGGAATTTGAGAATAAAACAACAACTCCAATTCCTGGGGAATGTTGTGAAAAAGAGACCTGTCAGTGCAAGGTAACTGTGAAAAAGAAAGAACTAAAAAATTTTAAGTAATAAAAACGTACAGCAACATTTTGATTTCAATAATAATTGTGAACGTTTGATAATAGTTGGGCATTATTTGTCAAATGGGATAGCAATAAATACTGAGCTATATTTAAATATTTCTCAGCCATATGAAAAGTTAGAAGACGTTTGTAGCAATTGGAAAATAAATACAAGTTCATGTCAAAATCCGGATTACATGGTATTAGAGGACGAACAGGACAAGTTTCAAACACACCGATGCTGTCCTGAAAAGAAGTGTGTATGCAAAAGCGATGAGATGTTGAAAGACGAATGTCCAAAATGGTAAAAAACTGGTATTATTCTTATTCTATGGTAGTAAAACTTACTTCAATATCACTTATCTATAATATTTATTTATTTATTCGTAGGACTGATTATCTATGCGAATCTCCTTATCAGAGGAGAAGTCTCAAGACAGCCATCACAGAGTCAAATTGCTGCCCAGATTATGAATGTACCTGCGACTGTTCAAGTGTAACATGTAAATACGACAGCTGGGTAGCTGAGGCGTAAGTCAAACTGCTATTTGAAAATATCATAAAATGAAAATGCTACACAAGGTTGGTCCAAACCTAAGTCTGTGGGCCACATGTGTCCTGCTGTATCGTTATCCGTGGCTCGCGTCACATTAGCTGATATAGGTAACAATTGGTGAAAATAAAAAAAATAGATTTTGAATTGCTTCGTCAAGAATATCACCGAAAAAATCTTCTCACATTATCACATCACTAACGTCCTTGATTTTACTTGTGACTGATAAAGCTGAGACAGTCGGTGGACAGTCGATGTTCGAGAGCACTTCATTTATGAAAGCATGTTCTCCGTTGTAAATTGTCTAAAATCTAATAAAAGGAACAGATTGGGTGACGAAACATTAGATGTCAGAGCTTTCAACAAGCAACATAAGTGTTGATATAAAAATATTGATTCATGATAAATAATAATCAAATGTCTTGAGACTAATGTGGCCCGTGAACAACACAAAATTAAAACTGTGGCCCCGACGCCTACAACCTTGGACAACCCTGTACTACACATTCAAGAAATATCGCGGTCTAACATTGAATAATTACCACATTAACGACATAGCGTGCACGAAACATTTTGAAATCTTCGATTTGCAGAAATCATTTGTATTCAGTTGCATTTTTAAAATTTAACAAATATTTTAGTTTAACTGATCAATGCGACTGCCAATGCAAATGTGAACCAGAAAAATGTACCGAAAATATTAAGAGTTGTGGAATTTATGAAGAACGTATTGAAAATGGAACGAAAGACGATGGTTGCTGTAAAGAGTATGAATGTGTTTGTGTCAAAGAAAGCTGCCCAGCTCTTCCATCGGCAGATTGTAATGAATATCAAATTGAGGTGAAATGAATGAATATATTCATATTTACTGTATAAGAGAAATAAATATTGATTATTGGTGATAGAACTAGTTTTCTATCAATAAGTTATGAATGTAATTTTATTTCCATTGGTAGTCAGTATTCATACCATATATAAATTGTGATGAATTTCACATGTTTCAGTCTTGATGCATTATATACATAGGCCAATAATAGCAATAATACCTATACAAGTTTCATGATTTAGAAATTTTATATTGCACTATAATCTATAGCATGATAGCAACTTTTGATTTCTAGATGAGTTGAAGTTAGAAATATTTCGGTACAAGTTATGTTTAGTATTGCTGGTTCATTTGATTCATTTTTACACAAAGCCTTCAACGCTTCAATTTTTTCTCAATCTTCAGTATGATTGGTACGAGAATCTCGGAGTTGATTGCTGCGCAAAAGAAAAAAGATGCAGATGTAACTCTAACTCTACATTATTACATGAATTGTGCAATGCCACAAAACCAGACAAATGCGAGGACGGTTACACACCATATGTGGAAAAAGTAATGACATCGCAAACACAAGGAATGTGCTGTGATATACAGTGCAAATGCTCCAGCTGCTTTACTGATAAAAATGAAACTAAGTTGGTATGTACTTATATTTTTACAAACATTCATCATTCTCTGTTTTGATCGGCTAATCGATAAAATGAACATTTGTAAATTTTAGGTTGGTTCTACATGGGAAACGAAGGAAAATTGCTTAGTGAAAAACCACAGATGTTCAGAAGTGTTGTTGACAAACGGTTGTCATAAAATAATAACAGATGTGAGAAATGTATCTTGTGATTTCACCTCCGCCAGTAGCTACGAAAATGAAAAGTGTAACGAAAGCTCTTATGCTGTTGAAACATTGCCCAGAGAAGGATGTTGTCCTGATTTCAGTTGCAGTAAGTAAATCAAATATATTGATGACTTTTTGAACTAAAAGTATGAGTGTCCTTTTAATGGTCTTTTTTTCATGAATAGAACCTTGCTCTTCGCAAAATTGGACTTGCCACTCTCCATTGGAATTTCTGTCGAAAAACGATACAATAGAACGATGTCCCGGGGAATGTAGATGCTCTGATCCCTTGAGTGAAATTCAAAATCGGATTTGCCTATCAAGCGCTTCTTGTCCAAATTATTACACAGCTGTTTTGCTTGATAAAGATCAAACAGGGGGAAAATCACACTCGGACAAGTGTTGTCCCGACTATAAATGCATATGCTCACCTTGTTCTGAGGATAACATTAATGAAAGCGATATAACTTACAATACTACACTATGTGAAACTGTTGGAGTAAGGGAAAGTGACGTGGATAAACCTTGCTGTAAAAATTATGAAAAGCAATGCAACAATTCATGTAGTTGCCCAACATCAGAGTCAAATTGTCAAACAACGTTAGGCTGCACTGACAAAGGTACGTTGTTTAGTTTCTTTTCAATCCCATTGATATCAATGCAATACTTTATTTACAATACCTTCCAAAATTTAGAAATCTCCAAATCATTTTGTGGGTGTGTTACTTCAACAACATGTGAATGTAAACCTGAACTATGTCCCATAAAATCTTGTGGACCTTGTGAAAAATTAATAAATGCACCTCGACCTATGAATGAAACAGCTGCCTGTAATGGAAATTGTTGTCCAATACAATTTTGTGTAAAAGTGGAGTGCCCTGAAGTACCCGAAATTGTGATACCGGACTATTGCATTTTCGCCTCAAAGATAAGTATTTTTATTTGTATTTAGATAGATTTTCTATCATCTTTTAGTAGTTTTCTTTCTTTTTTTTGTTCTCACACAAATTATTTTTAGCTTTTCCTTTTACGACTCTTTTAAATCAAGTTTACTGAAGTATTTATTCTAATATTATTTGCATCTGTTTTATCATCATTTCTCTTTTTAGCACGTATACACATATCCACAGAATGAGATTTGCTGTCATAATGGAGAAGAAGTGAAGTGCAATAACACTTTATGTCCTGACATTCTGAAAATCCCAGATAGTTGCCAAGATGGATACTCATTGGCTTCTCTTCCGGTTGCAAATTCAACTGACGCAAGGGTCAATGCATTCAAAGATTGTCCCAACGTTGACCAGTGTTGCGAACACAAAGTATGTGAATGTACATCTTGTGCATATGGTGACAAGATTCTCGATATAGGAGCACCAGGAGTATATTCAGAAGATGGGTGAGTAACATGGTTTACATCTAACATTAGGTTTTTCTTTTTTCATTTTCGTTTGTCACAACAAAGTGATGCGTTTATTGTTTTTTTTTGTGATTAATCTCCTACAAGTGGAATGCAAATAATTTGTTCTTTCAGAATCTCACTATGCGCGAATGCCCATAAAATTCATATTTACGTCTATCTAAAAATATAGAATCTATATGTAAACTTATTCTTGTGTTAGAATTCGAATACGAATAGAACATTTACATAATTTTTTCTATTGCAGTTGTACCTTTTATACTTGTACTGGAGATATCAAACTCACAGATGGTTGCTATCAAATATCTGAACAAAAGCCATCTTGCCCATCTAAACAACCCTGTGATTGTTATCAAACACTGGTAACAATCGACCCAGAAGGAGGAGCAATTGATCAAAGTCAGTGGATGGATTATTGTTGTCCAACTTACACGTGAGTCTCAAAATGGAACCATAGGTTGTTTTCATTTTAATATCTCTGAATTTAGACATTATTTGGTATTTATAATCGTCAAATTTATATGTTTGATTTTGCTTAATATATTCAACGTAGTAGGGATCAACAATTCCCAACATTATCTAGCTGATGCAAAGCAATGTGTGTTCTAATTCAAAAAAATGTTTGATGCGTTTTCAGAGTTGTCCTTGTTCTGAGTCAAAATATTTCTAGTCATTTCCATTTCAAGTTGCTACATATATTTTCTAAAAAAAAACTTCTAATTTAGATGTCAAAACAATTCCTGTAGCGATACCTACTCTCCTGGAAATGATAATTGCATTTATCCTGCAGAAGTACAAACCAACTATGAGGTGGGTTTAAATCATAATCAATCAGTTTAAATTAGAAGTAGAAATGGTTTGATTTGCTTCTAAAAAACTTTGTGCTATTCAATAACTTTGAATATTTTTATTCAATTTTTGCCTCTTTAAGTAGTCAAAATTTTCATGATCGTTGCTGGCCATAATATTTGGTTATTGGTACATTTAATTTAATTCAGATAATTTTGTACTTTGTGCTGGTAATTTATTGCATCAATGCTTGGGAATATTTTTATCCACAATATTCTAATTATTTCTATTAACGTTGAACGTGTGGAGATATACAAAAATTGTTTTCGATTGCTAAAAGGTGTCTATTGTACTTCTCAATACAGCGGAATGATACCAACAGTTGCGAGAACAAAGATTGTCCCATATCAAAATGTGTTTGTTCAAAATGTTTTGATAAAGATCTCGGAGAATCTGACATTGGTAGTACTGTACAAGGCAATGATCATTGCGAAAACTACACCTGCGTTGCTGGTAAAATTTGAACATTTTTATAAAAACTGTCTTTTCATGGAATAAGAATTGATAATTTGATATACGTTGTTTATTTACAGTTGTAGGTAGACTTTGTCCTGAATATAAAGTTAATCGAGATCCATGTCCTACAAAAGATTGCAATGAAGAATTTGAGAATAAAACATCAACTTTGATTCCTGGGAAATGCTGTGATGCAGAAACTTGTGCATGCAAGGTATGGGTGGATTGTTACCATTTTGTTTCAACAATGTTTCAAAATCGTATTTTTCTTGATTTAACGAGTTTAGTAATTTTCCAAATACAAGTTTTAATAGTTCGTTTGAAATCTAGAATTAAGTTTAATGTCAAACTTCAATTCAACTTTTTTATACTAATTTGTGATTGAATTGACTTTTACGATTCTCAGCCCTTCGAAGAACTTAAAAACATATGTGATGGATGGAAAAGTAACACATCACATTGTTCCGACCCAACACACATGGAATTGGTTCAATCCGGTTCTACTCTGCAACATCGATGCTGTCCTGAAATGGCTTGTCATTGCAAAGATAAGGAAACAATAAAATGCGACAAAGAGTATGAGAAGTTATATGTTTTTAGTTAACAAAATTTGTTCATTGCTTCAACTGATGATTCCAGTTTTGTCTGTAACTAACAATCATTTAATATTCATGTCTGGGTTTACTCACTCCTGTGGCCTATAAGTCGGTATGGTTTATATTATAATCATGTTTTCAGCAGTCTTCACTTTCGTATTATTAGACACGAAGTAGACCTATGTATTATTTTCTAATTATGTTGTTTTTGTTAGAAAATTACTTTTTCTTGTTGTTGTTGAGGCTGTTCAAATATCGCCTTTCTCTTTAACTACTGTAAACGTTTCAGTGATCGATTGTTATTGGCGCTAGAAGCCTATTGTTTTTATTTGTTCCCAAGTTTCTCATGAATCCCATGAGATCTGTTATTTTATCATTTGCCAAGGTTGTTCTCTACACATTTCACTGTGGGTAGTTATTGGAAATTCTGTTCATATTTTTGAGCTTTGCTCTCTTGTTACTTTGAAGGTTGTTTTTGAAGGGGTTTCTTAAAAATTTAGAAAACCATTGCCGTGTTAGATTTTCACGAAAAAAAACATATAAGATGAAAATAAAATAACGATATTTAATTTTTCACTTGTCTAAAGAGTCTTATGGATGCCAATTTATAAAACGTTCATTAAAATACCTGCTAAATATTTTTCGATTAAAGTGCTTACTCTTTTTTTGTTACTTTTTCAGCGAAAATTACAAATGCCCAGCAAATTATACTAGAGTAAAAACAGCAGAGGTTACATCCAAGAATTGTTGCCCTGACTTCAATTGTACTTGTGATTGCTCTGGTGTGAAGTGCGAATTGGAGACCTGGGTTGCAAAGACAAGGTATAACCTCAAAATAGGAAACAAATATCAGAAATCACTATAAGAAATGGTTCACACTGTGATATAAAGCTAGTAAAATCAAACAATTATTTCATCAAAAACTTTTTCGAATTGGGCAGCGCTCTGCAAATTAGCAATTTAATTTTTGATGACACCATAATATACAAGGGTGGTCGCTAAAAAAGCAAAAAAAACTGAAGGTCAGGTTTATTCACAAATGAAATGCGTGCTTACTCATTTCTTCTTCGATACTTTCATATTTCTCTTAGGTTTTAGCTTGACACATTTTAACTCCTATGTGCTTTCTATATATGTTATATTTTTGTCTAACATATGTCTTTGAATAAATTTGTAAAAGTTATTTTAAATATATGTTATCTGAACAAAATATGCAGTATATCTATTCTAAATGATTGGTATGGAATTAGCGAGTTCTCTTCACTTCTATGCCAATTAAAATTTACATTTATCTTCTGTCAACAGTGAAAATGTTTGTGACTGCAAGTGTAGCTGTGACCCCACGAAATGCGGGCCAGTGTTAACATGTCCAGAATTCAAAGTTCCCACAATTAAAAGTTGGAAAGACGGTGACTGCTGTCCAGTGTATGAATGTGTGTGTAATAAAACATGCAACGAAAGCAACTTGGAATGCAACATCTTTCAGGATGTGGTAAGAACCAATTCTAATCGTTGAGTTATGATTACTATGTTCAGAGCCAATCAAGGACAAAAATATTCAAGCAGACAATTTTTAATTGATCGTGTTATGATCAATGAAATCCCTGACATCCGAACAATGTTGTTCACTGACACATCGCTTCTGTTTGATTTTTTTAACTGGTTATGTTATAAATTATAATCAAAAATATGGACGTTTGATTTACGTAACTTTAGTTTGGTAGCTTCTTCACTGGTGCCCAACTACATATAAATTAACCTGAATACGTCCAGGGGTTTGTTCATACACGTTAATTAAATTGGTTGGTCAGATAGATGATGCTGCCATCTGCAACTCCTACCAAAATTCCTAATCTGATTGGTATACAGTTTGCCTAAAACAAAAATACGTTCACTATAAAAAATGGCTTGTTATGAAATCACTTTTTTGGCAAGTACGTTACATACATGGAAATAATAGATGTAAATCTTCAATGCAGAAAAAGACATATACTGATACAGAGGAATGTTGTCCAGAAGAAAAATGTGAATGTTCACAAAATAAGACATATCAAGAATCTTGTGTGGAATCATGTCCCGAAGGATACGCAATGTCATATAAAGACCCAGACACCAAATGTTGTGGAGAATGTATATGTACACACTGTAAAACGCCATCAGGAATGGTGGAGGTATTTGAAAAAAAATTGTTTTTGTTTGATATCACTTATCCTTGAATTAATGTTACTTGAAAACTGAAATAAAAAAATCTACATTTCAGCCTATTATTACTGTAAATGGTTTTCAAGTTGAATGAGGCTAAACAAAGCCGAATGAATAACCAAATGCTAGTAATAATAGTATTAACAAAGTCAACTTTCCGAGAAATTAACACTTGTTTTTACTCGCACAATTTTCAGGTTGGAACATCTTGGAATGCAACTGATGAGTTCTGTAAGGTTACAAAAGTTTGTTCTGAGGTAAAGGGCACAGATGGTTGTCATACTGTAAAAACAATATATACAGAAAAATCTACATGCCCAACAAAATATTGCGGGCCATTGCAGACGGCTAAACAACTCCCATCACTTTATCAATGCTGTCCTGAATATAGGTGTGAATGCATCGTTAATGATACCATTTTGAGAAGCGAATGCGAAAATTATGATGGTATTGAGTGTCCATCTAGCAAAAAATCAACTCTAATTGACTTTATTGACTGCTGTCCTTATTATGAATGTCAATGCAAAGAATGCGAATACCCATGCGACCCCGGTTTTATTGCGGAGATGTTACAAAATAAAACTATTGATACTCAATATTGCTGCTTTGACTACAGATGTAGATGTGACTCATGTACAGCACAAAATGGATCTGCCATAAAAGTTGGACAGGTGTTGACGACAACACTTCATTCGGGATGTGCTGTCAAGGAATCTTGCAGTAGATCAGACGATAAATGTACATTAGGTATAGATGACCCATCAACCAAATGTCAAACCAAAGAAAACTTTCAATCACAAACGTGCAAAACCCCTTATCAACATGCTATAGCCACTGGTAACTTCATGGAAAATAATCTTTGCTGTGAGGAATTTTCATGCGAATGCAATGATACTTCCATCAATTGCCTCCCTCCTTCCTCAGCCAATTGTTTACCTAGTCAGATGGCAATAGAAAAAAGTGTGATGCCCAATACTGGAGATTGCTGTAAGGATTATACCTGTGTTTGTCGGAATGATACTGATTTAGAAGATATATGTGAAATGTCAAAAAATTTTGAATGTAAACAAGATGGCTTCGTCAAACATAGGGTGAGTAAAACCACGAAGTTTGCACTTTTCTGTACTTCTTGCCGCCAAAGCAATTTATCACTCGTGGATATATGACACAATAGTTAAAAGTATTGTGATATATGCCATAGTCAATACTTGCAAATATAGATTCAGTTACCATCTTTACAATAGATCAGCAATTTTCAAACTTTTTAAGCCTCACCACCTTTTTAGAATTTTTTTGTTTTTGCACCCCACCTCAAAATAACTAGCAAACAAAAGGTTGGAATTAACGGCTAGTCGAAAGTAATATAATAAAATTGACAACAAATCCCTGCAATCTCTAAACAATAAACAAATATAGATATCCTAAACAAGGCGGACAAGATAAAATCGACCATATATTTTTCTTTTCAATTAGCTTCACGCCCCCTCAAAAATTGTCTACGCTTTCCTTGTAGGGGGCGCCCCACCGTTTCAGAACCACTGCAATGGATGGAGTTGCATATCCAAGATGTGGTCTATTTTTTATTTGTATAGTATGGATAAATAAAGTATCAAATTACTATATGACAGTTGGAAAGTTCAGATCCATGCTGCCTGAATTTCACCTGTACATGTGATTCTACCAAATGCTCGAATTACGGATTTACTTGCGAAGATGAATTGTATGAAAGATATGAAGTACCAGGAGGTACAACGTGCTGTCCAAAATATGAATGCAGATGTGTCAACTGTAGATCCAGCGATGCTGTTATAAGAAAGGTGAGGCCTGATTTGTTTGAAAAAAAAAAAAATCATTTGAAGCCTACACATGCAAGAAAAGCGGTTGGTGGCATGACCAGCGCAACCCCGCTTTTAATATTTCAGGGATGTGTAAACTGCGGCCCGCGGGCCAAATTTGCCCAAGAGTAAAAATTGTGTGGCCCGCATAGAAGTGCCAATTTTGAATAGTGTGTCCGCAAAACGAGCATTTAGTTCAGTTAATCTGATACGTGTGACCAATCTATTACTTTTGGGTCGCAAAAGGTATACCAATAATTGAGTGCCACTGTCGTATTAGCAAAACTAGTTAGCAAAATACCTGATGTTATAAAAATGTGTTCTTCACTAAATTTGTTTAAATTCAAAGTTTACTTATATCTGTTTCTTCTGTAACAAAAGTTGCACACTCTTTCCATACATTGTTCAGAACGTTTGATCAAACTTGTATATGCTACTACTGCTAAAATGTACCAAAATTGATGTGCCACCCAGTGTAATTTTAAAATTCCTTTTTTTCGAATGATTTTAATCTTTCAATTCGGATGGAATTTAGCATGTGGGAAAAAACCTAATTTGTGTATGTCCAAATCCTTATGCAAGTAACTAAACTGTATTATTTTAATGTTTGCATTCTTATGCTAATGTACACAACTAGAAAAACCGCTGTCTTAGCGTATATCTGTTTGTTTGCTGTTCTTTCTCTGTACTCTCTACTGCTTAATCACTGTCACATCATGGTAGCGTAACCAGGCTATAATTTTATTTTCAGACAAATCAGACTTGGACAAATGAATGCAATGTATACACATGTACTGAAGGAGAAGGTCAATGTCCCACCATCACTAATCGTCCTAGATTTGACTGCGAACCAGTGGATGTCGCCGATTGCGAAGGAGTAAGTTCATATATCAAGGCAACTGCTGTAGTTTTTAAAATACCATCGCTATATTTATAACTGCGCTTGCCGTACGATGAGCACACTCTGCAAACTGTGAAAACACACGCAGTCTCAATGTCCATTTATATATAATCACCATATTATCATTTTGTGTTCGATATTAATACCTAGAGTCTAAATTGCATAAATATATTGTATTATTTTAATTGGTGATAATTCGTTATAAAACGGAATAATAGATTCATTTGACTCTAATTTAAAAAATGAAATAAAAAGATAAATAAATATATATGTGCAAGATCTGGACCTGAACAATATCAAAATGACTATGCAGTCAATCGATTTCTATCCATTCAACAATATTTGCCTCGTTTCTATGGTTCTTTGTAATAAATATTAAATTTATTTAGCCGACCTACGTGTGACAAACATGTGTTGCAGAAGAATATGTTATTTATCTTTCAATATTTCATTTGTTTTCCAGCGTGGTGGAGTTGTCAGAGGATTAGATCAGTATGACGGATGCTGTAAGGAATGTAAGTGTTTATCATCATTGTTAAACGAATCACCATTGCATTAGCTGTCTACAGGCCAATTATTAAAATGCATCATTTGGCCATGCAAACCTTTTAATTCTTGGTGCCGACTGTATTTCAGTAACAATGAAAGTACAAATGTTATACCTAACCATCTCCTGCCTTTTTTTTTTACAAAATACTGATTTGACAATTACTTATTATTTCCCAGGTACGCTGTGTAAACGTGTTGAAAAAAAACAAAACTTGACGGCAACAATCAGCGGATTAAACTGTTGGTCTCTTGAAGCTATAGATATCGGAGTTTGTGAGGGGGCTTGCCCTAACACTGTTACTGTTAATTACAAAACGGGAACATCTGATGGTAAGATAGACTAATGAAATATAAATTTATTTACTGATATAGATTTATTTTGGTTTGTTCTTATTTCAAATCTTTTTTTGTGTGTTATGACAGTTATGTGTGCTTGTTGCGAGCCGACTATCGAAGAATCGGTGGTGATAATGAACTGTGAAGATGGCTCTCAGAAAATGGAAGCAATCAACAAAGCCGGATCTTGCAAATGTACAAGTGACATCAGCCCATAATACTATAAGATGATAAACGTTTGCTCTGTATTATCTGATCATATTCTTTGTATAGTTTGTGCTTTTAAGTGCTTTGTAGATGTAGAATTTTCCATTGATTAGTATATATGCTTCATTGTGTATTAACCCATTAACTGATCGCGTTACTGTAATGTACATTATATTAAAGGAGAAACTCTAAATAATGCAATAAAAGTTATGTAACTGATAAATCTAGTCTATATTATAACACATGAATGTTTCCTTGATTTTGTCATTCTGATTTGGCGGTTATTTGCGTATGGATAAACTACACGCACATTAAAAATGAGATTTGCGAAATCCCGCTTTGAATATTTTTATTGTATAGATTTCATCAACTGTATATGTAATTCTGAAATGATATCGCAAGAAAGTATTTTTACTTTTATTGTCTAATTCAACCTTATAATCATCACAAGCAAAAATACTATTTGATATATTGCTACATTTTCGGTAATTGTTTTTATTAGGCCGGGTATGTACCACATTGAAATGGGCTTTAATTTCTTGGTATATAGTGCAATTGTTTAAACACGTCACAAATGACGTAATAAAATTCAGCAGCTGCAAATTTTGTGTTTCATATTTGTGTCTTGTTGAAATTTTACGGCGAACTGAGACGTATAATTCGCGTCTAGATTTAAAAAAAAATCACGAAAATTGAGGCGGAAACGTCGGTAAATGACATAATCGACAGGATAGTTTTTTATACATAAAAATCAAAGGGAAAATTATTGGAATCGTATCGCGACCTCCATAAGAGCTCTATCCAGCTTTCGATTCTATATAATTACATGACCATTACACGAACTATTTGGTCTAAGTGCTCGAATGCAACGACACAAAACGTTAACAGATCGGAGTGCCTCAACCAGGTTAGAAATGACAACCTTTCTCAATCTCGCCAAGTGAAAAAGATGCTTTTATACTCTAGTAAACACTACTTTTGCATATATAATAAACATCTTAAACACGAAGAAATAGACTTTGAAATCACTGTAACAAGATCAACATCAACACGATCCATATGTACATTTCGTGTCCAATGAACATTTTACGGCATGTGCATTATCAACTAAATTACTGAACATTATCTACACTTGACGTGTCAAAACTTGTTTGCCAGTTTTTATCAGACATATAAGATCTTCGTCTTGCAACATCTGACGTCATTTCGAGGTTACAGATTTGTTCTGAAATTTAACAATAATGCTTAACTAAATTGGGTTTTTAACGACTGTGAGGCTTGATGTTCTTATATGGGCCTAACTAAATTAAAATGATACTGATATAGATAGAACTATGGCCGCGTGTAGCAATAGGCTGAGGAAATTAACGGAAAATACCTATAGATAATGGTTCATTCTTCATTAAAAAATGGTGCGCTATTTTGTATATAATGACACCTGTTAACAAGTAGAAGACGGCCAAGAAACGAATATTTTCGGATACCAAGATTTCAAATATTCTTTTTAAACCCATATTTAACTGTAAAATTTACTGATTCCTCAAGTCAATTCAAAAATATTTATTATACTCTATTTTACAAACCTTTATGTAATTGCACTCTAATTCGGACTGTATTCATGTGTTGAGTTGAGTACATTAATTCCCAAAAGCTACACAATTTTTGTAACGTATGTCTATATGCACTGGTCATTACTAGAACCACTGATGATCGCTAACTACATGGACAAAAAAACAACATTTTCAAATGGCATATATACGTAAGTATATTGATTTTTTAGTTCGTTTCATAAATATGGTGTTGTATGATCAAATGACTTTCCCAAAGAATTTCCCAAACCCTCATTGAGGACATCACGCGCAAATACCAGCATGTAAAATGGCCAGACATACACTCACATGTATACATATCGATGAAAATGTATGGAAATACATGATACTCATTCAAACAGTGTAGATATGGTTATACAAAAGCACTTTACAGACATGTAGGTCTTCAGATTATTGAAATACAAACACACTTTCGTATGTGTTCATACATTAACAGCGTTTCTTGCATACGCTGGTCATACCCATATAAAACAGTGGCGGGTCCAGGAACTCTTCGATGGCGGCCATTATCATCGTGATCCCGTAATGATTTTCCTCGCATTCTCAAAAAATACAAACTTGTAGTCATAATATAAATACGGATACGAATGAAGTAACGTCTAATGAAAAAGAGCAATCTGTGTCGATTATTTTCTCGGAGTTTTTACATTGAAATTGCCATGTAATAAATTTAAACTTTGTCGCATAGAAGAGATGGCAAGTGTTCTTCACGAATGTAATCATGCTCATAGACTGAATACATTCATATATCAATGATAAGCGATGTAAAATAGCATCATTCATAGCTTGTTAATGTAGTATAAATGTTTATGCTAATATTACGCTTAGCTTGGTATGCTAAATTACTCCGGCCCAAATAATTAGCGGTTAATCGTACATAAAACTAATCTATAAATATAGTACATTTTTTAGAAAACTTTGGAGATCGACTAAGTCTTGTAGTTTAAACCAGTGATTCCCAAAGTGGGCGATATCGCCCCCCGGTGGGCGATAACGCTACAGAGGGGGGCGAAAAAGTCGAAGGGGGCGATTTCTAGAAACCTGTTTTTGTTCGGCGCATCGTGTACTTGATTACTGTACTCTGCGTGCTTTCGTATGTTTGAATCACGTAGGCGATTATCACACGCGAAAGGATTGCTGGACTCGTCTTCGCAGTAAGATACGGTCGTTTCCGTATCCCAGTGGTCGACAAAATACGGCGACCGAAGTAAAATAATCAGGCCCGGGACGCTCCACTGAATGGCCCGTTCCCCGACCTTGACCCCAGAAAATTTTTCCTATACTTTACCATTTTAAAACTTTCGGTGCGTATTTTAAGAGTGGTTTTGCGAGTTGTTGCCTGTAAAACGGGGTATTTGTTTCAAACTATCATTCTAATTTATATCATTCAACAATCTGTTTTTTAAAAGTACCAGTAAAGAATTTTAGCCTAGTCCATCAAAGATATTTCTACACCACATTTTTGCCTATTGTAAATAAACTGAAACTTCTGGGGAGACAAAGTAATCATATTATTTTAATTCACTTACTTACTTATTCACTTATTTGATTTATATTTAAATTTCCGAAAAACAATTAAAAACTAACGAATATATTTCAAAAACGCCAAAATGAGGTAATTTTCACGACCACGCCTGAAAATCTGACTGAGTGAGAAATGTGTCTGAGCGGATGCAAAAGGGGGCATTGTTACGTTTATTTTTGCATCTTGCTGACTGGCCAATGACACGAGGTAAACAAGGAAGTCTATGCCCGGGAAAACATCCAAACGGCGGTTTTGGCGATGAATTAGTTTTATTTACAATCTACGCTCGAGGAGTAAATTACATTTTTTTATGTAACAGAATTTATCGCGAGGCACGTTTAGACAAAATTTTATTATATCCTTAAAATTATATTAAACAGCTTTTCGTTTAACGAGCCTACAATTCAATTATAATTAGACACTAGGAAACACGCAGAAGAGTTGATGCTGAGTGCAGGGGTTCAATAGCGCAGTAAATATTAGAATATATTGCAATGCAATAAGGAAATAAAATTCATATTCTATTCGAGGGATTTATCACTGCTTAATTCTTGTAAGAGTGTATCTTCTTAAAGAAAATCTTTATCAAAATTTGACAAACCATGCGATAACATTCATTTCGATGTTTGGAAGTACATATGTGTGCGAACAAAAATATTTTCGAAAATGAACATTACAAAGAACAAGATAGAACTAGGATTAGTGATGCCCATTTGGAAAATCTTACAATCTTGGCGTCGTAAAGCTATCAAGCGTGATGCAGCAACAAGACAGTGTCACATTAAATGTCATTGTAAGAATTTTTTAATAAGACGACTGAGTTGAGTTCACGAATTGTCGCGGTTTTTGCCCGCTGTTCCGTTTTTAACTTTCATTAAATATGTGCGACCCGCAAAAGATTAGCAACCCTAAATGTAAAATGGGGTGAATTTAGGGAGTTAAATGCTATAAGGCAAGAGTACACGGCGGTTTTTGAGGAGGTAGAACCTAGATTTCCGACCGCTAATATGAAGAGCGGTTTTCAGCTGTGCTACTATTGCTATCAAAACAACGAAATCGCCTTTCCAACAGTAAACAGGGTAATTTTAGATATTATAAAAAACTCGCTGAAGAACACCAAGCTTATCCATCTCATTAAAAAATACTATAAACTATGATTTGTCTCGTTATTCGGTCTGTAATATATTCGTTTCAGACTTTACATTTTTTTTCGCAGTGCCGGGGGGCGATGAACTTGTATAACCTACTGTAGGGGGGCGATGGTACAAAACGTTTGGGAACCACTGGTTTAGACGATACACTTTTTTGGTAGGCCGAGGAAATAGCGAAAAATAACTATAGGTAATGGTTTTGCCTTTAGTACGAACTGGGGCGCTATTTTGTATATAATGGCCCACATTTACAATAATAATGGATACCACGCCCTTTAACCAGATAAGGGCTAGCGAATCGAATATTCTAATTTGAGATGGTGTACATTTTATCGAAAGATTTGCCTCTATAAAAAAGTAGCGGCGTGTTTCGAAAGGGTAGTAACTATTATTATATATAAAGATTGTTGTTCCATTTTTCGAAAGTCGAATATCTAACGTTAATTTAATAAATTCATATTTACCTCTTAAATTAGAATGATGGTAATCAGGGTTCTTCCAGTATTCATCACGGTAACGGATAAAAATATTTTTATCACGATTGTCTGTTCATGCCATTCATATGTACTTGTATGATTGTTGAATGGAGAGCAATATGAAATTTATACTTGAGATAATGCTTACTCGTGGTTATTTAGTCCAGCGTTACTATGGTGTTTGATCAATTTACAATTTTCAGATATAATTCAGTGGTGGCCAACACGTCAATCGCCACGTCTCGTGTAGGCCTAGTCGATCGCGTCTGATGTTGAGTGAATTTAATAACATACCCAAAAAATACCTTGAACCAGTTTCATGCAGCTTCTGTCATATGTTTTAAAACAGAAGGAATACCTTACTGTAGTGTAGATGCGCAAAATACGATATACACATGCAGTATTTGAGTCTTGATAGATCATGTTATTACATAACAAACGAAAGTTTCATGGGAATGAACGTTTTGACTGACAAGTGACAAACGATCCTACAATAGCTTCTGCAGTAGCCTATGCAAAAGGTATTGTCTCATTCCAGCAGTAGTGTGATAAATTTTATTCGCAACGGTATAGCAGTGGCACCAGGATGCCCGATTTTTTCTAATTCCATGCGAGCGAAGAATCAGACTTGAAATCGGAGGAAATTGTAAATTAAATAGGCTACTGAAGTTTGATCAGTCAAAATTAGGCAGGCCTTAGATTTGAATTACATAGATAGATAGATTTTTTTGAAGACCACAATCTGACAATACAAACTGGAAAGCGAGCAAAACCTTAAAAGAAGTTTAAAACAAGATGAGTATCATGTGCCTGCTCACCAACAGGCATTCACACAAAAAAACACAAATCTTGTTAAACAAGGCTTGACCAGAAATAAACACACACGATCTGATACAAAGACAACGTGTGTAGGTGACGAGAATTGTATGATTTGAATAAATCCTAAAGAAAAGATGAAACGTTTATTCTGGTAATATTACATAATCAACTTAGCAAACAAATGGAGCATATAAAATACAAACTTTTGTGGCGATTTTTTTTAAAATATACCCACGGAGCCGAGCTCATTGGCAGCGGTAGAATTGTCGTATATGTGCAGTCATCTGCATATTTAGTACTTATTCGTTTTTGTGTATGACTTCATTATCAATCAGTCGGTCGCGAGCTATTTTGAAGATTTCAGTCGATCGCGTTCGAAACAGGTTGGCCACCCCTGAGATTATAATATCATAATATAGCTATCGAAGATGGCCAAACATGGTCGTATTTCACGGCAATGGATGATAAATGAGTCAGCAGATAATGTGGCTACCTTATACTTTTTTCTTATAGAGGCCAGACAAATGAAAGCGTAAATAATGTATTGCGACAGTTTTCGCTGCTTCAATACATAATATTGGTTTAGGACGATAAGCAAACAAGTCAGAAAGCAGTGACAGGCTAATATGAAGGTCTTCGATACTATTTCTGTATTTTAAGGAGTTCAGCGTTCGCAATATTCACGTAGAAAAGGTTAGATAGAAGCTTCTTTCTGCGAAACGTGAACTTCAATGAATATAAAATGCTAGTCATTTAGTCGCTGCAATTTTTGGACACGTTTAGTGGCCATAACGATCGTTTCAATATTATGTTGTTGTTGTTCTTGTTCTTTGACACGTTTTTAAAAAATTGCTTTTCTCTTCGAATACTGGACCAATTGCTTTGAAATTTTCAGTGGTTAAAGATTAATTTCTTCGCTAGAAGGCTATTACTTTTATTTATTTCAAAATTTTGCGTGAATTCTATGAAATTTGATATTTCGTCTAAAATTTTGCTGTATTATTTTTTATCCATGGGAACACGGATTTTAGTCAGTGTCATGACTGGCTGTACGTTTTGATTCTGCAAAATTCTTGCTACTGGAAATTCAGAACTTTTTTGAGGGTACCGGTAGCGTCAAAGGTACCGGTAAAGACTGATTCGCTCTGGTCTAACGTGTCCATATATTTGTGCGTAGCTCTCTTGTTATATAAATACTAGTGTGTAATACAAGATAGCTATTGTTCGTCAAACAGTGAAAATGCTATACGTATTCTATTCTATGAGAATGAAAGTTATAGATAAGCAGGATATTCACCCAATGATTTTTAAATTTTCGGTAGTAATACTGCAGAAGACTCACAATGAATTGTTAAGAATGCCTTATTAGTTCAGAGTAATACGAATCTATTTTTTTTCATCATGCGCTTTTGACACGTAAAAGGTGTATGCAAACAAACACAGCAACATTTTCTGTTTTATCCGTAAAGTATTCTGAAAGGGAAAGTAAGTCGTTGGATATATGTGACTTATTTTTCCTTCAGGTAACAGATTACTATAGCAATACTATTGGATTTATGTATTGAGTATAGAATGATAACTCCGCTGGATATATTATCAATTGAATCGTGGCTTCTGATTGCAAGCATAGTTTTACTTATCAGGTTGGTGCAAAGTAGACCGAGTAAGTGTATATAAATTTATACCGCATTTACGTTTTGACATTGACGATCGACTGAACGATAATCGATTGCTATTTGCAATAAGGCGCGGCGCATGAGAAGGTCGATTTTTGATGAATTAAAAACAATATTTATCCAATCAAGTATTTTGAAACAGAATTGGCGAATGTGAATCATACAGAAAAACGCATGTTGTAGTTTATACTCAAAATAACATTTCACAAATACGTTTTACTTTCAGGTATTATTTGAATCAAAAATGGAGCTACTTTGAAAAACTCAACATTCCCTATGATCCACCATCTATACTCAAACTTGGAAGCCTCCTAACTGCTTTCAGCAAAGACGTAAGATAAGATTTTATAAATAATTGTTTATTCAGAAGTTTGCCATAAAATACTGCATGAAATGAAATGCTTATTCAGTGAATTATGGCCTGTAATTAGTTATTTGTTTTTTATTTATTTTATATATCAATTGAGAATATCTTTCTAATAGCATCCATAGTACAATGTTTTATACGAAATCGAATGGTGGGACTAATTTTAGATTCAGGTTCTTCCCAGCTGTTCGGGTCCGAGATTTCTATCTTGCCATGGCATAACAATTGGAAAAAATGACAATTTAGGTCCTTGGTGCGATGGAACCACTCATTCAAGTGATGATGAATCTTGGTAGCCTCTTAAACCTAATCATTTTACGAATTTATCATTTGACTGGTGGTTATGTGCTTATTTCATGAATATTATATTATTTTCAGAAAGCGTTTGAATACGACAACGAATGTAAGAAGAAGTACGGTAATATATGGGGGTAAGAATATATATAAGTGTATTGATTCAATTTATATCGAATAATTTGCCTAAGACACTATATCAATAAGTATAATATTGAATGAAATGTGAATAAATCTGATCTGAATAAGCGAAAGAAGAAAAGATCGATTGCAATAAGATATTTTTAATCATAAACCAATTGTTGTACGACATGCATCGTTTGCATTGTTTTTTTAAGTTTATTTACTTAACGCACTTATAATAGTTAAAAGTCATTGGACTCAAAAGTCATTCGTTTTAGGATATTCACGGGACTATCACCCAGTATAACAATTCACAATCCTGATATCTTGAGACAAATTTTTATTAAAGAGTTTCAAACATTTCCAGACAGACAGGTAAGGTCTACTTTATTCCACAAACAAATTGTATTTATGATATTCTAGTTTCAAAACATGAAATATGTATTTCGAATGACCGAGTTACATTCATTTACAAACAATTTGGGGTAGGGTAAGTATGATACATACGAAGTTCCAAATTTTCATTCAATTTAACTTCTTAAGCCGCTGCTAAACCTTTCAGAAAACATTGCTCAAAATAAGTGGAAAAGAATTGAACAATGGATTAACCGCAGTCCAAGGAAAACAATGGAAACGTATAAGGTAAGAATCGTAAATGTTAAACCACGTGAAATATTGAAAAAAAACTTCCCGAATACGGAAGTGTTAGAGAGGGATAGTGGTGGAAATTATTCTTACTGCATTTTTGTAATGGCTGTGAAAATTACATTGAATTAATTCGTGAAAAATTAGATGCATGATCGTGATACGTTTTCAATTCAATAAATTTTATTTCAAACTAACCGTACGTTCAAAAAGTTTAGTATGTTGTTGGTTGGTTGGTTAGCTTTATGAAAATCAGTATTAACCAGATAATTGGACAAAAGCGAGTAGTTTACACAAGACGAACACTTCTGAGATAATCTCGCAATGTCAATATTTATAAAGCCGGGCAGAAATTCTTGAAGTGAAAAATTAATTTTTCAAAAGTTAATTTCAATTATACATCAATTTTTATAAAATTCTCATTCAAGAACGACAATGACACCGACGTTTTCAACTTCAAAACTGAAGCAAATGTGTGGTATAATAGACTGGTGTGCAGGCAATACTGTTGATGCACTGGACCGAAAAGTTGAGAGTAACAACGGGGTTTTCAATTCAAAAGAGTAAGTTATACCGTGGTCTCATTCAACAACAAAGTTTCTATAATTTCTTGTTCTCGAAATAAATTATTTGTTATAATCATAACAACATCTGGAACGCACATCAATGAAATAACTGAAATTTATCATTGTTTCGGTTATTAAGCATAAATCTCCCGATATTTCCAGAGTCTTTTCCCGTCTTTCATTGGATATAGTATGCTCAGCAGCATTCAGCACCAAAGTTCACTCGCAGGATGACAGAGTTGAAGAGCCAGAAGCTGCCAAAAATGCCAAAAAATTGTTTTCCGGAACATTCAGCCCCCTTATCATATTGCTTAGTAAGTTTCACTGAAAGTTTTACATCTTTACCAACTCAGATTGCATTGTTACTCTAATCCTATTCTACATATCCCACGAAATTATTTGTCGAAAGTATGAATTTCCTAACGGCATATGAAAACTATACCAGAAGTCATACACGGAAATATGTAGTTATTCGTGGTCGAATTAAAATAACTTTAAACAGAAATGCGCCATATTTTAAAGGATTTTATCAATCTATACTGTTATACTCAAACGCGCATTTTCGCAAATATCTTAATCACATGGAAAATGTACAATTAAAATTAAAAAAAGTTTTTCTTTTCCAAAAAAATTCATAAATATTAATTAAATATTCATGTTATTTCAGTTATTTTTCCATCTTTGGAAAAACTTGTTTTCAAATTTAACATCGCATTGTTTGGAAGTGGTGGATTAAAATACTTCAAAAAACTAACACATCACCTAATAAAGCAACGAGAGGAAAATCCACATGAACGTGTAAGTATTATCGTTTTTAAATTGATATTGTATCGTGTTGCCTTATACAGACAATTTTGACGTAATTAAAATTTGATTTTCGACAGATGTAATCGAAATAAAAACAATAAGTTACACATCAGCCTCGTATAAACTACCTTCGAAATCTTGACAGTTCAGCCAATCAAGTATGTCGTGAATCAAAGTGATTGCAACATGATTTTGAACTTATATCTAAAATTTATGTTTTCTTTGACAGACTAGAGTAGATCTTATGCAACTGATGTTGGATGCTAGAGTATCCGAAGAAAAAATAAAAGAAGGTGCAGAAAAAGGTTGGTATCTTGACATATGTAAGCTTGCGCTTCAATTTTAATAATCACTTTAAAGTTGTCATATAGTTACAGTATCTATTTCTGGGTCAGGTTAGATTACATATTTGCAATTGCTGTCATGTCTCTTTAATCCAATACGTCCCTTTTGTAATAAACTTGAACATCTAGTAATACCTTTCTTTACTCTTGTTTGCTTTGATACGACATTTGTTAATCTTCAGGCATGACAAATATTGAAATCGTTGGAAATTCAATGTTAATGATTTTGGCTGGTTACGAGAATACTGGGAATACAATGAGCTGGACAGTCTATAATTTAGCTCAACATCCGGAAATACAGTTCAAAGTTCAAGAGGAAATCGATGAAATGATGAAAGTTCAGGTAAATTTATTCATACATACATTCATATGACTCAATTTTTACTTTTCGACTTGTCCAATGTCTTACGTTGACATCGTTTGCTTTGCCTTCAATCCCGTGTACTATGAGCAAACAGTTTATGCAAATAGGTCCAATAAGTTTGTACGCTCAAAGATGATTCGATAAAAACTTAGTATTTGTAGAGTAGTGATATTTTTTGCTTGGCGATGGATGTGTGAGATTTAGTATGGGACGCGGAAAATAAAATCTGCTCATTGCTCAGAAAATATTTGCCGACTCGAATAGACTGCTGAACGTACAACAATGCCCTTCTCGCGATTATCGTGTCTGACTAACATTTTGTGAGATTGCACAAACACGTCGAATTAGTGTGTATATTTAACTGCTCTTTTAAATTTTATTATATCATTATTTATTCGTCAAAATTAAACCAGCAAATCTTATTCATTCTATAAAAGTTCCGATTTCGCATTTATGACCGACATTGCTTCAAAACTTCTTTGTTGAAATTGTTTTTATGAAGGGCAAATTTGACTACGAAAGTATGACAAAATTGAAGTTGTTGGACATGTGCATCAACGAAACTCTCAGACTTTACATGCCGATTATAAAGTTTGTATATTTTACCAAACAGCCATATTCGTTTCTCTAATGACGAAATGTCACCTGAATAACTGGAGAATACCTTCAATTTTTGAGTGTAATGCAATTTGGTTAATGTTTTTTCGCATTAGTCATAGATTGCAGACATCTCTAGCATATTTTGAATGTACAACTTGATACTTGAATTTAAACACAAAAGTTGAATTAGATCATATGCAAATTAAAGATTCTTCTTTGAGTTTTACATGTCGCGTATTTTTGCAGGAATGCTCGCTTCTGTGAAAAAGAAATCACTATCAATGGCTTAACAATTCCAGAAGGTATTCAGATAAATGTACCAACGTTTGGACTGGCACATGATCCTGAATATTGGGATGAACCTTACGAATTTAAACCCGAAAGGTAGAATTTTCATGTCATTTATGTGAATATGAATTTTAATGCAGCGAGTTTGGCGATTTATCGTTTCAGTCCCGCTCTATATCCCACGATTCCAATTATTTCAGTATTTCTTGAAGTTCATATATTAGACTGAAACCGTGATTTGCAAATTGTGGTGCTTGTTGCTATTAGGTTCATTGGAAAGTTATTGACTCATAATTTGTGCGGAACGTGAGTCAATTATTTGAATTTGGAGCGCTCGTTTAGCCAATGCACGTTGGTGTGCCTGAAGTAGGCATGTAACGTGATGAACAATGTCAACAAATATGTGATGTGTGGCAGGTACAGCATGTTCCGCCACAAATACTGCGACATTTCAGAAGTATACCGACATGCTTTTTTTTATTATATTCTACAACTCTCATACGCGGTGTTGAATATAATGACTATATTCAGGATGGAGGACATGAGCCAAATTGACCCAATGGTTTATCAGCCGTTTGGCGCGGGACCACGTAATTGTATTGGGATGAGATTTGCTTTGATGGAAATTAAGATGTCTCTAGCAAAACTTTTGCATAAATTCACATTCAAACCTGCTGAAAATACACCGGTAGGATAAAAACTAGACTTTGAATATTTTTACATATAGGATAGATTATATTTAGAGACTACAATTGTGTCATTAATTATGTGATGTTAAGTATGTACTTGTCCATGTAAAAACATTTCTTTTGTTTTTGGCGTTCTTTGTATCACATGAAAGTAAACCCCTTGACATTTCTGTTTCCGCAACTTTTTCTATTGCTAAAAAAACATTACTAATTTTCCACCCTCGTCTCCAAAATAGGTGAATTGATTATGACTTGGAATTGTGTAAATTTATTTCTGTGCCATCTTATGTATTTATGTCTTTCAATAAATTATCGAGTGCAAACTCTATAAGCATTTCCTATTTAAGCGTTTGTCTGTATTTTATTTCCAAAAGACATTAACATCTATAGGCGCAGTAAAATGACTTCATAAAACGGTGAAAATATTATTTCCTGAATAATATCTGGGCGCTGTTTTTGATTAATACACCATGGCTCTCGTGGGAACTTTTTTATTCTACAAGAGTAAAACCTTTAGCAATGTGTTTGACTAATAATCATTCAAATTAATAATAATAAACCATCAAACATTTCGTTTTCCAGGCACCTCCTCTGAAGTTGAAATTTACAATGTCTGTGCGGTCTGAGGTTGATTTCAACTTGGTCGCCATACCTCGTGATTCTGTTTCCACCTAATTGCACTTGAGCTAATTGTGTTAAAGCTTGATTGGCAGCGCCTGTCGATTTTAGCTTTGTATTAAATTTAATTTCTTATTGGTATCATTTGTGAAATTTAACTCTTTACTGAATCTATGTATACTTAAGATGTTTTCTTACTGTAGTATAAATGTAATATTTGTTAGTGTAAATCTCTAAAAATGATTACGGAATCTATTGTTTTGCATTACTATTGTTTTGTTTTGCAAGACACTTTTGCAGAACCTATGTCTTTGTTGTGATTTTTTTTATCCATGCTGACATGATAAATCGACATTGGGGCGAAAAAGAATAGTACTCCCGTAGTATGTGAATCAAGATGGCGGACACCGGAACGTCGTATGTGTACCAGGTTAGGGTTAGGCATAATTTCAGGTACAAAAAGTACGGGAGTCATTTGGCTAGTACCCGAACTCTTAATATAACTAAAATAAGGAAAATTGGAATAGAATTATAGCCTAACCTTAACCTGGTACTCATACTGCGTTCCGATGTCCGCCATCTCGGTTTACAGACTATAAAAACCGGCTGTACGCCTTTCCAGTGTTAGGCATAGTCATAAATCAGGACTTCTGAAAACATGACTTCAGTAAGTATTTAACAAGTAGAAGACGGCCAGGAAACGAATATTTTCAGATACCCTGATTTCCAATAGTTTTTAAAACCCATATTTAATTGGAAAATTTTATTGACTTCTCAAGTTCATTCAAAAATGTTTATTGTATTCTATTTTGCAAACCTACATGTAATTGCACTCTAGTTGGAAATGTATTTTTTATATTGAGTATATTAAACCGCAAAGGCTACACAATTTTGGTAACGTATTGCTATATGCCCCGTTGCTTTTCACCTAATTGAAATGATACCACATTATCGTAGCAACCACTAATGTTCACCAACTACGAGAACAATAAAACATCATTTTAAAACGGCATATACGTAAGTATATTAATTTTTAAGTTTATTTCATCAATATGATGCTGCAGGATCAAACGACAAAGAAGTGTCAGCCTTTGTTTTGTCATATAATTTTTACTATCTATGCTTTATTATTTGAGAGTAGTTTTAGTGAACAACGAAAATTCCCTGCACGTGTTCTGAAAGAATTTCCCGGTCACGGCGACAAACCTACCGCACTACGCATTCGGGAACCATCTGCAAATAATAGCGCGTAAAATAAAATGCATGTATCACATGTATGCATATCGATACAAATGTATGGAAATACATAATACTCATTCAAACATTGTACATGTAGGTATACGAAAGCACTATGCAGACATAAAGTTCTTCAGATTGGTGGCATACAAACTCACTTCCATATATTCTCATACATGAACACTGTTTCGTGCATACACTGATGATACCCATATAAACAGTGGCGTTATCATCGTGATGCAGTAATGGTTTTTCTAGCATTCGCAAGAAAATACAAAATTGCAGTTATAGGTGACATACTGATACAAATGAAGCAACGTCTATTGAAAAAGAGCGATTTTTGTCGATTATTTTTTCGGAGTTTTTAAAATGAAATTGCCATGTAATAAATCTTTGTCACATAGAAGAAATGGCAAGTGTTCCAAAAGCATCAAGTCTGTTGCGGTCATAGTAGATTTTTCACCGCGTACCCCCAATACATAACACAAAACATGGCTAATGGTGAGGTGTGTTACGTTGGCGACAGTTGAGTGCACGGTGACCGGTTCTAGATGTACGTAAGACGCAAATTTTTCTGCATTTGGATGACCCAGATAGCGGATATGTTTTTCGGCTATAAGGAACGATCGACCGATGAATGTCGTCCGGGCCTTATGGGAGAGCCGCGCAAGGCGAGGGCTGCGACACTGCTGTTTAATAGCTAGATCTAGATGGGTTTTTTTTTCAAGATCTAGATATAAAATTTGGAGCCGGGTAACGCTGCAATAGACTACGCTAAAATTGGCTAACAGTACGACATGTGGTTATATATTTTTATTGAAAATGATGGTTTTGAACAAGTAACTCATTTTTTTATGCGTCAACTATCCAAAACTCTCTCAAAATAAGTATCACGAATTTTGCTATGGTAAGTGCAGGAAATGTAAGTGTCGGAGAAACATCCATAGGATGATGCTAATAACTCTTATCTCTGCTTGTTATTATTGCTCTCTTCGTCGATATGATTCGGCTTTTGCAGTTTTCAAGACTTATGCTCTCGTGATGTAAAATACCACGCATAAATATCTATAGCTCTAAAGTTCCAGCGCTAGTTTTAAAACATATTACCGCAATGTTGTTTTTGATATTTGTGAGATCATATGGATCATAACACGGGTCATTTGATTTACGTTCTTATTCGTAAAAGAAATGTACATGTCATAATTTTATATTAATTTTTAATAATTTAACTAAAGGTATCACCGTTTTGAGGAAAATCAACCCAACTTTTTGAATCAACTACACATTCTAAAACCACCTACATGCACAAAAAGTGAAACCAAAATTTAAATTCTTTTCCAATGTTTGAACGCTGCTGGGATAACATTCCAAATCGATTTAAGGTTCGGAAAATTTTCCGAAAATCGTTCACCGTAATGTATGTCGTGCGCGACAAGCGCGCAAGTTCTAACCACGTCGCGTAAGTAATATTCACAAACAATACTATCATATCGTATGAATTTATGAAAATAAATATAAATTTCATTTTTGACTGAACAACACTTTTGATTTGCATCAGAACCCAGATACCGCTCGAATTAACAACAATACAAGATTTATTTAACAAGCGATAACAATATAAATAGGTCTAACGTCCTGACCGCTAGGTCATCGCGCTGAAGATTTAACTTCGAAGTTAAAATTGACTTTCAAAATTTAAATTCGAATTCGGAAAAATGAGGAATCACCAAAATGGAGGTTTTCGAAAATTTCTGCTAACAACAAATTTAATGGTTGTTCAGTTCGATAGTCAAAGCTTTCTGCACAGACGTAATTTCCCTGCTTATATGGATACTTGGTGAATATTTTCTATTGTCTGCCCTGAATGATAAATTTGATATCACGTTTGTTTCTGCAATCTGTGGGTTGGAGCTTAGTCTAGCTCCGGTTTACGCGGTAAATATTTTTCGACAAATATATTTATTTAACGTTATCAGGGGTTAAATGGCCATGTCCAAGTCCCAAAATAGAAGAAAAAGACGATAAATACCTGCAGTTCAACACGAGACGTGAAGTGATATGGAATACATCAGGATTTGATGATTATATTACGCTTCTTGAAAATACAAGTACCTCATAGCACATCTTTGTATTCACAAGTAGAGATGGCGGAATCGTCTCCGGAATCGATTCTTAGTGGAATCGACTAGAATCGATTTCGATGCACTGGAATCGATTCTTAGGGTTAAAAGTTGGTTGCAAAAACGGTATACATTTTCTGTCAAGTCCTTTACATAAATATATAAACTGCCTTGCGGAGTTGTTACGACGCCGCAAACTTCTGTATATTTGTACACTCTCCTCCCACTCGCTCGTTTGCGCGGGTGAAGGACACGTGCCAACGGCAACAAAACAAAAAAACTTATAAAATATCGCAGTTTTCGCCCAAAAGTACCCGTGTCTCAGCAACATCCGCTGCATCAGAAAGAGCATTGATCTTAGCGGGGCTTACCATCCCCAAATTACGATCCAGACTCACAGGAAGACATGTGAGCGCATTAAACTTTTTAAATTGCAATAAGTTTTCTATGACAGTAATTATTTCAACTTAAAGTGGACATATAGATCTTTTTTATTATGTTGTTGTTGTTGGAATTCATTTTCTTCAAATCGTATTTTTCACTAGAGGGCTACTGCGTTTATGTATTTCAAAAATTTCTGTGGGATATAAAGGATACATTTTTGTGTGTGTGATTTGGTCTGATGTGACAAAGGGAATATCCATACTACTTAGTTTAGGCTTTCGCGTGCATTTATTTGAACATAACTCTTGTGTTTGATTTCATATATTGTTCAAGTGGGTAAAAGTCTGTAAGATGACAATAAAATAATTCTTAATAAAATGCAAATTTGACGAAGGTGTGGCAATTCTCTGCGCTACTACGAAACCAACTTATTACTACCAAACAAGCCGCTAGGGGATCTGCGTTCCGTGCCCTAATTTTTTATGGGTGAACATGCAAACATAGAATATCAAATGTTCTTCCCAAGCTTTTTTCAAGACGAACCCGAAAGAAACTTTTAAGTGTCCAGTGCGACCTCAGGTCAATATATATATATTTTAATGAAACTTCTAAAGCTTCTTTCACTGGACTTTTGAGTTTGGTCATGTGGTGGTATTAAGTAAAATAAGCTAAAACCAAACAGTGATGTACTGATTTTACAATATGTACCTACATTTTCTATAGCATGAGCATAGAGCGATGCCTATGAGCCTGTTTTACAGTAAGCCATGGTACAAACTGCTAAATTTAGCATGGTTTGTCAAATCTTAGATGTTTTGTACATCCATCCTCTGCCATACCTCAGCGACTCCACCGACCCCATGACCTGTTTGCGACCCTACCTACTCATCACTCCGACCCAATTTGGTGTCGCGACCGCTGGTTTGGGAACTCCTGTCCGTCTGGTATCTGCGAACGATAAGCATTTCCAATGTAGTACGATGCTGTACATTCCATATGGTATGCTTCAAATATACAGTGTTGCTTTTCGTTCTAGACGGATCGGATCCAAGCCGCTCATTAACACAAAATGACAAAAGGTGACGAATTGGCTAAAGATCACATCTACGCATTCAAGTGTGTTTTCATTTCTCAAGACCTCTGCGTCGAGATGAATCGTTGTATAAATCATCTTTTCTTACTGAGTTTACATAAAACGATCCAACAGAATGCATTGAAAAGAAATGCTAATGAGAAGTTCGTACCGGCGGAATTTCTTTGCTTACAACTGGGTGTGACTAAATACCCGCTATCGGGGACTGAAATTCGATATCAGCCGGGGTACTTGAGGTTCAACTGCACTCAATATACTTCCAAGTTTATAATCTCAAAATGAAGCGAAGCGATTACTGGATATATTAACCCAATTTAAGTACATAATGTTGTAATCAGAGGCAAGTATTAATACCAAGAATACTATCTGTTATATATTTTCATTTATAGTAAAATATTTTAACTTTTTAGAACCTAGAAAGTAAAGTGAAATGCGCATTTTGTTTAATTAGAAGAGGGAGGGAAATAAGTTCAATCAAACATTTTTATTTCATTTTTACTATTTCTTGCTTTAACTAGTTTCATTTTCACGCAAAGAGTATTTCCAAGAATTGAACAATAGGCATCCTCAATGGTTCGGATGATAAACAGTGGGGGTGGGATTGGCGGGATTCAGAAACGGTAACGTGCTGACTTTTGTTCCTAATGGCATACAATTTCAGATACCGGTAAATCATTCGTACTTTCCTTTTACGAACAAGAACGTAAATCAAAAGACACGTGTTATGATCCATATGATCTCACAGATATCAGAAACAACATTGTGATAACATGTTTTAAACTAGCGCTGGAATTTTAGAGCTATAGATATTTATGCGTGGTAATCATTTTACATCACGAGAGCATAAGTCTCGAAAATTGCAAAAGCCGAATCATATCGATGTAGAGAGCAAAAATAACAAGCAGAGATAAGAGTTATTAGCA